TGTTTCTGTTGTTTTTTAAATCCAGTTTTAATCTGTGGTGCTCTGATAAGACATTGCTGGGGATTATTTCAGTTTTCTTGTATCTGTTGAGACTTGCCTTATGATTTAGTATGTGGTCAGTTTTGGAGAATGCTCCATTAAGTACTGAAAATGAGTGTATTCTTTTGTGTTTGGGTGGAAAGTGTTCTGTAGAAATCGGTTAGGGACATTTGGCTCATAATGTTTGTTAATGCCAGTGTTTTTCTGTTAGTTTTTGTCTGGATGACCTGTCCACTGGTGAGAATTGAGTATTGAAGTCTCCCACTGTCAATGTGTAAGTGTTGATGTGTGATCCAAGCTTTAGTAGTGTTTCCTTTTCAAACATGGGTACTCTTATGTTTGGGGCATATATGTTAGTAATTGAAAATTATCTTGGATTTTTCCTTTGATGAGTATGAAGTGTCCTTCCCTGTCTCTTTTGATTAATTTTTGGTTTGAAATCCATTTTCTTAGATATTAGAATAGCCATACTAGCTTGTTACTTAGGCCCATTTGCTTGGAAAACCCTTTTCCAATCCTTTACTGTGAGGTAGTGTCTATCTTTGGTGCTCAGGTGTGTTTCTAGAATACAGCAGAAGGATGAATTTTGTTTTTGCATCCATTCTGTTAGTATGTGTCTTTTTATTTTGAAATTTATTATATGGATATTGGGAGCTATCTATGACCAATAATTTTTAATTCCTTTTATTTGTATGTTGGTGGTGGTCGTGTGTGTGTGTGTGTGTGTGTGTGTGTGTGTGTGTGTGTTTTCCCTTTTGATTTTGCTGTTGTGAAATATTTATTTCCTTTGTTTTCATGTGTGTAGTTAACTTCCTTGAGTTGGAGTTTTCCTTCTAGTGCCTCCTGCTGTAGGGCTGGATTTGTGGGTAGATATTGTTTAAATTGACTTTATCACGGCCTATCTTGTTTTCTCTATCTATGATGACTGACAGTTCTGCTGGGTATATCAGTGTGAGCTGACATCTGTGGCCTCTTAGAGTCTGCTGTGTATCTTTCTAAATACTTCTGTCTTTTAGACTCTCCATTGAGAAGTCAGGTGTAATTCTAATAGGTCTGCCTTTATATGTTATTTGTCCTATTTCCCTTGAAGCTTTTAAGATTCTTTCTTTGTTCTGTATGTCAGCTACTTTTGGTTTTGGTGTGGCCTCTGGTCCAGTAGGGAGCCTATATTGAAACTGGGGTATGGGATACTGTAATAGGGAGGAGAGAGGTTTAGGCTATGGTATATAGGAACTGAGAGAGTGGGCATGGTTCAGTTCAACCTGGGTGGAGGTGGAATCAGAATCTTCTAAGTGCAGATAATCTTAGAATCTTTCTTTCTATTTAATGATGCTTTCCTATACAACATGCATTGAAACCCAATGAAAAAAAAAAACAAACACCTCATTTTCCCATTGGACATTATTCTAGTTTGCTTTCTATTGCTGTGAAGAAACACTGACCAAAAGCAACTTGGGGAAGAAGGGGTTTATTTCAGCTTAAATGCTGTAGTCCATCTTCAGGGGAAGGCAGGGCAGGAATACAAGGCAGGGCAGCTGCTTACTGGCTTGCTCAGCTTGCTTTTTGTTTTTGTTTTTCGAGACAGGGTTTCTCTGTATTGCTTTGGAACCTTTCCTAGAACTAGTTCTGTAGACCAGGCTGGCCTTGAACTCACAGAGATCCACCTGCCTCTGCCTCCTGAGTGCTGGGGTTAAAGGCCTTCACCTCCAATGCCTAGCTCAGCTTGGTTTCTTATACAACCCAGACTGATCTGCTCAGCAGTGGTACTGCCTACAGTAGTCTGGGTCCTCCCATGTCAGTCACCACTCAAGAAAATGCCCCACAGACTTATCTGTAGGCCCATCTAGTGAAGATAGTTTAATGGAAATCTCTTCCCATGTAGGTCTTGGTTTGTGCCAAGTTCATGAAAACCATCACAGGTAGTAATACTGTATTCAAACAGAACAATCTGCTTGCCTTCTGAACTTTGGCAAACGTTAATGGTTATATGGTATCCTGAGTAGATCAGTCCAGTTCTTAGCAGTGATAAGAGAGAAAATATCTGTCAAAACAGATATATATCACTAATAGTAGAAGAATACATTAATACCACATCTTTTTATCTTTAAATTCCAAACTCAGTGTCATTCATATTCAGAAAATATATTTTCTTTTGAAAACTGTACAGATGTGGGACTAGCTATTCTGTGAATATATGAAAGTTTAAGACATGTGGAAGGTGTTCTAGCAGGAACGAAGGCATTTAGATAGAGGCAGACCTGGAAACCTTTGTAATTTTAGCTCAGGGATACAAATAGATTTCATAATATAATCAATGGTATATTGATTATATAATCAATTTCATAATATAATCAATCCTTACCTGACTAGAGATGGTTATTTGTAGAACCACAGGCATCTAATCTCAGTAGAAACACTGTATTTATCCAACCAGAGGGTGTCAGGCATTTCCTGAGCAGGAGATGAAGCCATATGTACTTCAAAACTCCCTGTGGAGGTTGTTATAAGAATGACCCCCATAGGCTCATATCTTAGCATGGTTAGCCTCTAGTTGGTGAACTGTTTAGAAGAGATGAGGAAGTGTGGCCTTGTTGGAAGAGGTGTGTCACATGGGGCGGGTTTTGAGGTTTCAAAACCCCAGTCTCCTTCTCTGTGCCTGCTGCAGAGATGTAGTTCTCAGCTACTTCTCTAGTGCAATGCATGCCAGTTGTGCCTCCCATCATGATGATCAAGGACTAACCCTCTGAAACTGTAGGCAAGGTCCCAGTTAAATGCTTTCTTGTATAAGTTGCCTTGGTCATAGTGTCTCTTCATAGCAATAAAACAACTAAGGCACCCCCTTTATAGGATTTCTAAATAACAGATAGACCTCTCCAGTATAAGAGGTCGTAAGCCACTCTTGATTTGTGCCCTCCTTCCTATCTGCTTGCTGGGGCTGCCCACTGTGTTCTTTCTGTAATTGTTATTTTGTTTTTAATGTCAATGCTGTCTTATACTGCTCAGGTCAAAACCTTAGAGTCTTTGTTAATTTTCTTTCCTGGCAAAGTTCACATCAAACTTCCCAACAAATCTTTTTGGTTCTGCTTTCAAAAAAAATTCTAAACTGGGCATGTGGCTCAGTGATAGAATGTGTGCTTAGCCTGTGAGGCCCTAGGTTCAATCTTCAACAGCAAAAAGAAATGCATACATGCAAATGCATACACACAGATGCAGACCACACACACACACACACACACACACACACACACACACACAGAGAGAGAGAGAGAGAGAGAGAGAGAGAGAGAGAAGAGAGAGAGAGCAGAATTAGCCAGGTCTCACCACTTCTGCTATCACCACTATCTTCTTTCTCTTGCATATTATAGTAACCCATTCTACTAATCAGTTCTGTAGAGTGTTATAACACTGTAGGTGGGAATATTTGAAGACAGGGGAGAACCAAGCATAATGGCTCATATCTGCAATTTTAGCACTTGGGAGGCAGAGGCAAAAAGATTTTTGTTAATTTAGAGCCAACCTCAATGAACAAGCAAAACAAAACAGGGAGAAGACATTTCCTCTCTTTAGAATCCTGCATGACAACTACTCTTACTGTGTTGTCCCCTCTCGTTCTGGGATCTTCCTTGTGAAATCTTGCCCCGAACTCCTAAGAGAAACCAATAGTCTTCTTGCTCAGCTCTCTCACACCCAGCCTGCTAGTGCTAATTATTAAGTTGTACCTGCTTGATTTCCACCATAAAATCCATGTTTTCCTAATTTAAATTTCCTTCCTCGTTGTGTGCTTATTTTTGTATTCTCCCTAAAATGTAATTCAACATCATAACGACAGAAAATTGGTTTGTGTTCTCTACTACTCTACCTCCTCCATCTGCAACTGTGCATTGTGGGATTCTGTCAGTTCATGCTGAATGTATGAATAGAGGTGGTCTCAGTTTGCAGACGATCAGTTCATATACCCAGAATACATAGCTTCTTGTCTTCCTTGCATGGGATGTGGAATCTCGGAAGGTCACTTCAGTGTCTCTCCTGTACGTGAAGATGGTCATGGTTTCTCTCCCTACTGTTGTCCAAAGATTTAGTTCAGGACAAGTTGTTCAAATGCATTCACCGTATCACCAAAGCACCTTCCAGTGTGTGGTTGGAAACCATTCTCAGGGTGATTCCAGGCAGCGCCTGTGTCATCAGCATCACAGAGGTTCTTTTTGTTATCAGGCAGGGGTTTGTTCTTTTTTCCCAGTGATGTATGGCCGTGTGTTTTAGGTGAACATTCAACCACCAAGCTGTATCCTTGCCTGCTGCTCTTTTCAACATTTCATTTTTGAATAGCTCTTATGAATTTACCCAGGTCAGCCTTGAATGTGTGATCTTGCTGCCACTTACAAGTTCTTGGGATTGCAAGCTTATGTCAGCACTTCTAGCTTCTGAGATTTGTTTTAATTTTTGAGGCAGAACTGACAGCGCACACTAGGATTAAAGGAATATGCCGCCACTGTGGCATGGGACTTGTTTTACATATAGCTTTCAGAGTCCCAGCCTAGAAATCTTTGAGGCTTATACTTTCACAGATACTCTAGGGTAGCCTTTATATAGTAAGTCTCAGAATCCCATGTTCTAAGAATAATGGAACTGCTGGAGAATCCAGTCTTGAGCTTGGAGTACAAGATGGAAGGTTCTGCCTTTGGCGGTGTGTGTGTGTGTGTGTGTGTGTGTGTGTGTGTGGTGCATTCAGAGAAAGGGGACTTTGCCTCACAGAAGTGTCATGTCTGTGTGTGTGTGTGTGTGTGTGTGTGTGTGTGTGTGTGGTGTGCTAAGCCTATGCAATGTGCCATTTATCTGCTGAGGATGGGTAGGTCTGGGAAATAGACATGGAAAGTAACCAGTCCTGTGATGCTGAGCCTAAATTGACCTTGCTCTGGATGAGACTTGATAGTTATGTCTAATTATGTTCTTGTACTTGGCAGTGGGATGTTCTATGATGGGAATCACACATATCTCATTGAGCCAGAAGAAAATGAAACCTCCCAAGTAAGTGCCCTGCTTGTCATGCAAATGTCAGCATTGGTGCTAAGACCTTTATTCTTCTTTCCTCCCCTTTCAACCCTTTGTTTATTTTTGTATTGTTAGGATCAGGACAACACACACACACACACACACTCACTCACACTTAAGCATACATGTACACATGCACACGTATGTACACACACAATATTGAGTAAGTCAAGCACACAGTTTTTAATATTTATTTTTCTTGGCTTTCTTCTCTTATGTTGGGAATACTTTCCCTGAAGTGTGTTGATACCACCACTTCTCGCTGTCACACGATGTACCTTAGTTTAGACAACTACACCAAATATCATGACTGTGTGTCTTATGCAACAAAGTATTTTCTCACAGTTCTGTAGGCTGTGACATTAAAAATCGAGGTGGCAGTAGGATTGGTGTCCTGTGAGGGCTCTTGCCATGGCTGGTAGCTGGTTGCCTTCCTGATGTATTTCTTGGAACATTTATTTGCTACAAGTTAGGAAAGGATTGAGTTAACATTATAGACTACAATGGCCTTTGTTGCTCTTTGGCTATGACCACTCTATTAAAGACTATGGGGAAACAATATAGTTTTCAATTCTTGCTTTGCATAAACAAATGAACTTCATGTTTCATGCAATGTAGGTCAAGCATTTATAGAGGTAATTTCCAGTAATGCACATTTTTTTAACCTCTTGAACAACCTGTTTGGGAAACCATATGACTGTTCTCTGAGTACCTACTAAAGGCAGCATCACTTTGCAAGACACTGCCTTTTTTAGAGATTGTGTTTAACTTATATATGATGACATTCTAATTCTTTGGCACTTAGATGAAGCCAGATGAAATCATTTGGATGCTTAATATTTTTTTTTTTAGAAGAAAAAGTGTTGCATTATCTCCTGCTGTCTAGAACTTTCTATGTCAGGATTCTGGGCTTCGCTTGTGTCTGTCATCTTGCTTTTAGTCACCAGGAAAATTGGTAGCTTTGGTCACTGCCTATCTTAGCTATTTGGCTCTCAAAGTAGAGGGCAAGGATCCAGGAGATGAGCAGTCATTAACCCATTTTCTGAGACGTCTTACCTTCCCTTGGGGAGGTCGGTCCATTCGTTTATTTTCCATTACTGCAGCTTTGGCTCCTCTGCCTGTGAGGCTTTTTGGTTGCAATTTGTTGCTGTAGTTCTGGAAAAATGCATTACAGAGTGGGGCTGTGTAGTAGCTCATGTTCCCTTAAAGACCTGGGAACGTGTAATCCTCAATTCTCCAGCCATGATTGCCTGAAGCAGAAGTGCTTGCTTTCCATATACTCAATCTCTGCCCTTTGTGTTATTTCAGGGGGAGTCTCATTTTCACTCGGTTTACAGATCCAGACTGTTTGAATTTCCCTCGGATGACCTTCCAACTGGTATGGTATTCATATCGGGAACAGCTTTTAAACTTCAACCCAGTAATTTGGTTACTACTTTCGAGCCAATATATAGGCTAAATAATACTTGCCAATTGCTCATGACATTTTAGAGGGACTGTCAAGTTGCACCAAAGGACAGAATAAAACACAAGTTGACTTCTTGTTTACAGTTGAGGAATTCAGAAAAATATGGCCTAAGCACACAGAAGGAACATTTAAGAAATTCGGACTCAGGGTTAGGGATGAGAAGTAATTTTAGAGTAAAAATGATAAACAATGTAAAAATCCGTCCTTGTGAAATGATGGTTTTGTGAACACGGGCATGAATCATCTCCCCGTGTGTGTGTGTGTGTGTGTGTGTGTGTGTTTTCTCTAGCATTTTAAGCAAAAGGCTATAATTTAACCTTTTATATAATTGTTTGCCACTTGTGAAATTGGCACATATTTTCCTCTCATTTATGTTTATGGCTTAATTGCTGTAAATGTTGATTGCAGAGGTATATCCACATGTCATGTGACCAGTGCAGCTGACCTCAGTGCTAGAATCCCATGCTCATGGAATGTTGATTGTGCAGTGGGCATTTGTCTTTAGCTTCTTTTAGTTAACATCAGTTTTGCAACAGCTTTGTATGTTAATATAACTCCTTTTGAAGGCAAAGAAACAAGGTTTGCCAGGGTTCCACAAGTACTAAAGGACAGGGATCACAACACTTTAAAAGATTGCTGAGTCACTCACAGGAAGACATAACATTGCCAGCCTAAAGCAAATCCAAAACTACCATTAGAAAAGCAATTAATAGCTTATATCATCTTGTGAGAGAATGAAGTGAATGCTAAATTCTAATGCCCCTTTCTCTCTGGATGAAGTCGTAACTGATTGGCCTCTGTAGTTCCCCTACTTTGATGACTAGGTGGGAGGTCCTGTTTGATGGAATTCACTACTTTGGAGGTCAGTGACCTTGCCCAGTGGGTAATGGCACTTACCATACAAGCCTAATGACTCGCTTCCATCCCCAGAGCCCACATGACAGCTGGAGAGAACAGGGTCCATATGAGGCCTGGCACGTGTGTGCCCCCAGCCACTGCACACATACAAAATAATACAATTTGACAGAGAATCCACTGTTAGGAAAGCCTGTGGGTAAACATGGGCACTGCTATTCTACAGTTTCCCACTGTCCTTTCACGAACTTTATGAAACTCTTAAAATGCCAGTTATGGGAACAAAATTAATCATGAATGACTGTGTGAGAGTAAAACTACAGTGTAATAGATCTTACTGGAAGCAATTGGGATTGATTAATATTTAAAGTAAGAAAAATTTCCCACCAAAGACTTCAATGTAGAAGTGATACCATGTAACCTTACAATTTTATTATTTTATATTTGTTCAGGGTTCTTTTTCAGAAATAATGATGTCAGTGACTTGGCTCCCTCCCTTTTCTTCCCTCCCTCCCTCCCTCCCTCCCTCCCTCCCTCTCTCCCTCTCTCCCTCCCTCTCTCTCTCTCTCTCTCTGTCTGTCTTCCTGAGAGGGTCCACTTTTAGTCGCCCTGGTCTCAAGCTTGCAGTGGTCTTCCTGTTTAGCCTCCTGAGTGGTGGGGTTGCAGTTCTGATTCTTTGTTTGGCCTGTTTCTAGTTTTTCAGTCAGCAGTTGCCACTGCCAGTTTGAAGAGTGGTGTTGTCTTTCGAGATATTTTACTGTAACAAACTAGAAGAAAAAAGAGATAGAAGTAAGTTTTTTTAAAAAATTTCATTTTAGATTCAATGAAATTGAACAGGTTTATAGGTCACCACTACCACCTATTTCCTAGAGATAGAAATAATAATATAATCAACATTTGCCAACTTGTTTGGTTATAGAACCTTTTATTTTATTTTAGATGACATCTTTCAAGACAAGTGTTCCTTAGAACACATTTTGGAGGGAAAAAAAATCTTGTTTTCAGTGGGCTTGTGGACACGTTAGAAACTGATATGCAGGAAACATGAACCCTGTGTGTGACTCACTGAGATACCATGTTTTTATTTTGAGTCACTTCCTTGTGCTCCTTATCTTCTGTTTCTACAATCTATTTTCTGCCTATTTTCCCTTTTGACTAGCCTTGTCTTTCGTAGGACTTTAAACATATGTATCGTATATAGGTCGTTTTTTTTTTTTTGCCTAGCATATGCCTGTGATGTTTGTCAAAAGTAGCAATCATTTATTGAATTTATTATTGAGTGTATTCTGAGGTATGAATGCCCTATAATTCTTACTAATTATGCCGATGGGTATTCGGGTTTACCCAGTTTGAGGCTGTTATCAATAAGCAACCATGAACACTCCTGTAGTCTTTTATTTTTTCTTTTTATCCCCCTTTCCCTCCCTCCATTCATTTCTTTTTTCTTTATTTGTATTTATTTTTTCTATCCATCCCCCTTTCCCTCCCTCAGACATGTTTTTGTTTCTCCTAGTAACTCCCCAAGGATGAGCTTGGAAGGCATATGTTTAGCTTGGGATCAGTGTAATAAAACTTCAGTCAAAAGAACTGGCAAGCTGGTAGCCAGCCATACATTGCTGGCCTCATCCCAGCGCTTTCAGGCCTCGGTTTTGAGACTTTATGTTTCCAGCATGTCCCCAGGTGATGCCCATTTTACTGATGCAAAGATTCTACTTCGAAAAGCATTGTTCTATGAGAAGTTGTTGAATGTCTTCTTCAGAAGGCTTATGTCATTCTGCTCTCATATAAGCACCACATGGCAACAGTAATTACTCTAAAACTTGAGCACCAGATACTGAGGAATCTCTGTGATATAGTGGATGTTAACCATTCTAGTGTGCACGGTGCTATGCCATTGAGCTTTCATCTGATGGTTTTGTGACTGGCGATATGGATGTATGCTTACTCATCATCAGTTGTTGCATTGTAGAAGGATTTACTTACATATTTTGCATTTGGTTTTAGCCAAAAGTTTAAAAAATGATTACATAGCCTTGATATGAGGCTTTTGTCAGATAGATATATTACTAGCACTGAATTATTTGGATTGCCATTAAGTATTAACATGGGTTTTGAAGCATTTCTTGCTTTGACTCTGCTCATTTAGCCACCCATGTCTACTTTTTTGCTTGCTGTGGCTTTATCGTGTATTTTGAAATCAGGGAACATATATCCTTCAGTTTTGTCCTTTTTCCAATTTATTTAGGTCTTCTAGGTCCTTTGCATTTTCATATATGTTTTAGAACAAACTTGTCAGTTTCTGAACTTCCTGTTAGATTCTAATTAGACCATATTGAATGTTTAGATTAACTATGGGAAAACAGCTGGGTAGTGAGTCTTCCAATCCATGGGAATGGCATATCTGTTCCCTCATATATTTAGGGTTTGTTGTTCGTTTTGCATGAGGGCCTGGTTTAGTCCCTAGCAAAACAAAACAAAATGAATTCTCAGCCCTTTCTAGATATACTGAGTCACAAAAGACAAAAATATATATGGAAGACATTTACAATTTCTGTTTGCCATTTTCAACAGAGGTTGCTATGCATAAATATTTACTATCTCACAGTTCCTGAGAATCAGGCTCGAATGTGGCTTTCCTGGGTGCCTGTTGCTGTTGTAGAGTAACTGTAAGCTGGAGTTGTAGCTGCTGCTGAAGGATCTATAGGAGAGACTCCCAGCTAAACACAGTCATGGGAGATTGGCAGAAGAGCTAGGTGCTTTTGGTGAACTGATCCTTTATCATTATTTACTGTGATTCCTTTTTACTGAGATATTTATTGTCCTAATGTTACCTTTCTGGTATTAATGTTTCTAAGATGTTTTGTAATAATTCTTTGAGCATTTCATACATGCATATAATGTATTTTGATCACATTCATCCCCCAACCCTCAACTTAACTCCTCCCAGATCTTTCCCCCTTCCTATTCTCTCTCCCAGCTACTTCTGTAAAATTATAACCCAGCAAGTTCAATTTGTACTGCTCAATACTCATACATGTGGGACCAATCACTTTACAGCTAATGTCCACTTACGAGTGAGTACATACCGCATTTGCTTTTCTGGGTCTGGGTTACCTCACTTGGGATGATTTTTTTTAGTTCCATTCACTTACATCACTTGCATCACTCTGTAGAATGTCCTCCCTTACAACTAACCTAAAACTCAGAGATAAATTTATCTATATCCATGAACAGTTGGTGCATGATTCTTAACTACATATTGGGAGGGACTCAGATTGTCCCATTGCCCCGTAACAGCAAACAAGGCCATAGACAAATTTTGTATCAGGAAGATAATGTCCATGAACTGGAAACAAATGGTCAAATTTTGTGTGTCCTGTATTGATTCCCTGATAGGTCATGGTAAGAATGAGTTGTATTTGCTTCCATTTCTCCTCTTTATTTTGCTGCTCCTGGAGAAGGTTAGTGATGGAAGTGACGATCAGGTTGGCTACTCAGCAGGTTTTAAATAAGGAATGTGTTGGTGTTCATAGGATAACTCTGAAAAACATGACATGAATTAGGACAGGTGTGCTTGAGCTTTTGTGTATTGCATTTCCCATTAAATACTTATTTAAGGTTAATACAACATAATTACTTAATTTTCATATACTCACTAAGTAAAAAGAAAAACTGATCATGGAATAATAAGAATTGGGAAAAACAGGCTGCATAGATGCTTACTCAGGGAGAAATAACTTACAACAGAGACAGATGAACGCCAGCAGGTTCCTGGTCCCAAGGATGCCTCTGGATGCTTTTTGTCTCTGTCCCACTCTGGGGTCCCCTACCTCAGACCTAGTTCCCCCAGGTCATGTCTGCCCCTGTCCTCACCCCCAATGGGTGTGGTCAGTTCAACAGGTGTGGACAGAGTGAATATCTCACTACAAAAATTAGTGAATTTTTTCCTTCTTTTAAAGAAGTCTGGAAAATGCACTTTGTTTTCATTTCTTTGTAGAATTTCAACGAGTCAATGTTACTCCACCAAAATTTATTTTGAAGCCGAGACTAAAGCGGAGTAAACGGCAGGTATGTGTTTTCAGGTGTTTGCATGATATTTAGAATACTTGGCAACCAGTGATCATTTGAGTTTACATTCAGTGTCTGGGCTGGGGGGGGAGGGGACAGGCAGTGCAGTCATTTGTGGGGGGTGGGTAAACAGAGCAGGTTGCAGCTGCATGAAAGCAGCAACTGGATGCACTATTTTAGAAGTAGTGACGAGATGATGGAGGAATATGGAGTCCTCATTTCCATGGATCATTGAGTCTCTGCTCTTGCTCAGATATGAACCACATCATGGGGTCTTCGCTATTCTTGACAGGCTTTGAAGCCACAGAATGCCCTTTTCTCACTTGAACTGCCTTGGATTTAGTATATAAATGAGGACATAGCTTTAGGACTGTTCAGCTGGACATTATGTAAATAGCAACTGTCCTTAAGGTACCTTAAGCCACAGGGGCAGGGGCTGTTCTTTCACAGGGCTCCCACATCTGATGATGGCTTGTCCTGTGTCACACAGTTGACAAATAGCCTAGAATATACATCTGCTGTTAGAATCAACCCACCACAATCATGGTGATGGTGGTTTGTGGGAGCATATGTGTGCATGTAGCTTGAGAAGTACCTGGGGAATGAAATACATGGGGATTAAAGTGAATCTGCTAAAGGTGTGTGAAGTACTTGTTTTATAGAGGGAACAGAGCAATACTCACTATGCATGAGCTTGTTCTTCATACACATGTTAGCATCTCATCATTGACCAGGATTGAACTTAGCAATGCTCACATGCCAAGAACATGTTCTTCCACTGAGCTATTATACATGGCCCTTTTAGAAACAGAGTCTGTGTATGTTGTCCAATATGGACTTGAGATTGCTCTATAGTCAGGTGTAGAACTTGTGGCCTTTCTACTTCAGCCTTTCCAGTAACTATTCCTCAGGGCCATGTTTCCATTACCTTTACATGGTACTGTTTTGCTTCCTTTTGTTTGACTTGATCTCACTCTGTGGCCCAGAGTGGCTTCAAATTAACAGCATTCTTCCTGCCCTAGTCTCCCTAGTGCTGGGATTATAGGCATAGGCTTCCATGTCTGGTAAAATAGAATATAGTTTTAGACAGATTTTTATGTGAATTATAGTTGCTAATATTTGTTGAAAACTCGGCATGTACACTCCATTTTACAAGAATTTTAACTCTAACTGTATGTTAAAACTTTTGTTCCTCATGCTATCCTTATGAAGAAGGTAGTGTTATGATCCCTATTACTGATAAGGACAGGATACACACGTCTCAAACAGGAGCTGGGATTCTCATAGAAAGTCTGGTCCCACAGGTATCTCTAGCCATATACACTCCCTGAACCACTCCTCAGAATCCAGTGTGTTCAACAAGCCACTACCACAAACTTGAAATACATTCTTTAGACACAGACATATGGATGTCTTAAGTTAAATGAAGGTAAAAATAATTTCCATGAAGATTTCATTTACAAAGTTGCTTATTGTTATAAATTCTGACCTGAGAGAGTAGGAGAAATATCCTACTAACACTTGCCTTGGAGTTCTTTCAAAAGCACTTTGACATCTTGTCATTGGCTTCTTTACGAAGTCATAAAGTTGAGTTAGTGTGATACTGTGTGCAAATGCAAGTCCCAGGCATTGCCAAGTCTTCTCGATTGACTAGGAAGCCCAAGGTTAGCAGTTAGGTTAGCAAGGGCGATCTTGTTGTCCTAGTAGGAACTTTTTTTTTCTTTTGAAGGTTATTGTCATTGGGTAGTAATTTAGTTTTCCTGTTTGGGTTTTAAATACAAAAATAAAATCCATTATTCTCTATGAAATTAGTATTTTAAGAGTCTCTTTTTTGTTTTAAAGACTAGAGAATATATTTAGAAAGAGACAAAAATCTATGAGGCAGTATATTTTTAGTTTGTTTAAAATGTAGCACTCAAAAATACATGTATTGATTCTAGTTTGATTTGATGGTGTGCCCCCATCACAGAAATAGTCCTTGGGTAAGTGAACAAGATTTACTGGGTGGGTGGGGGGTTTCCTCAATTGAACCATGACATCAAAGAAAAGTCAATTTAATGACTGGGTGATGGCTGGGCAGAAGGGATGGCTGCCCTGGTAATTTTGCCTATAATATTGATGGATTGTGGTTTTGAGAGTGAGGAGAATTTGTTTTTGAGCAGAGAGATGTGGCAGGTGAAAATCTTCCAAGACTGTGTGGGACCCTCACCATTATGCTGGCCATACCCTTGTAGCTTGTGGGGATCTTATGAACCACACCAGAGAAAAGTCATGCCACTCCTAGACTTGGAGATGACTCAGGAAAGTGCTGGTCCCCTCACTTTCAATGTTCTGCTTGTATTGCTTTCCATGCCACTGCTTTGATGAAGACAAGCATGGAATATGTAAGTTATGAAGCATATATCCATATTTAATTGTTTTTGTCTAAACATTTTGATGAAAAAAATTGTAATTTGCTGTATCTCGTGGAAGAAGAGGCAAGAGAACAATTCCATCCTTGATTTTTATTCCTTATTGATTTTTTCAAACCATACATTTTATCTACTTAAAAACTAAATTGATGACATTTTAAAAGTTAATGCTGAAGAAAAAAGGAAAATTTTGTTCTATTGATTTCTTTCATGCTTTTAGTTTTTGCAACTTAGTTTAGATGTTTTGTCTTTTTTCTTTTTTGTTTTTTTTCCCCCCACTGTGCTATAGCTTCTTCGATTTCCCCGTAATGTAGAAGAGGAAACTAAATACATCGAACTGATGATTGTGAATGATCATATCATGGTAAGATTTGCCCCCCCCCCTTTCCTTCTATCCTTCTTGCACCTAGCTGTTGTGTAAACACTGTGTTTAAAAGAAACACAAACCTCATCAAGTTTTGACTTGGAAAAGCCATTTGTGTAAACACACACACACACACACCACTTTTGGAAGCTTGAACACAATTTTGTTAGATTTTAAGATTAAAGCACTCATGGCAAACAGGCTATAAGTATTGGCAACTGCCCACTTGGCTACCTAAATAGAGTTCTACCACCACACACAGCCTATATAGAGGTCTACCACATGTGACAAGCAGTCACATAAAGAGGACAGGAGCTTTAGAGAAGAGGGAAGCCAACCAAGCATATTTTTGACCAGGAACGACGTATAAATAGAAAACATGCTTAGGTGGAAGTAACCGGCAATTGTCATGAGGATCCAAAAATATGTCTTTTTAAAGATATTTTTATATATTAGCTATACATATATTAATGTGCTTGTTAGGATATTTTCATGTGCCTGTAATGCATTGTGACCATAGCCACCTCTTCATCTCCCCATTATCTTCTCTTATTATCTTCCCTGTTCGCTCTCTCCCAGTCCTGCTAAGTACCTTCTTTCCTCATCCATCCCATTTCTACTATTTTTGTGACTTTTTTTGGGGACCCAATGTATTTCACTAGGGGTGTTCCCAGGAACATGGATAAGAGTTTGTTTCCAGGAGCATGGGCTCAGTATCCACAGCCTCCCCTCAGTGCTTTGGATTTATGTGATTAAAGCCTTTCAGAATACCACTGAGGCCAAGCAAAACAAACATGTGACCTATATTTACTCTGAACCATCTCCTTGTGATTTGTATCTTAGGTATTCTTCTTACCCCAGAGCCATGAGGAACTTGTAAAGTTCCGCACGTGTAGACATATCCACATTGACTGCCTTTGGTCCTATCTCACTTTGTATGTCTTACAGTTCATAACAGCTTTCAAATGAACAACCCCGCAAAGTGAACCTGGGCAGTGGATGGAGTGGCTTCTATTTTAAATATTGGGGAAGGAGTGTGGTAGGGATGAACCTAGAACCTGGTGTGCACCAAGCTTCTATATAATATGTTGCACTCTAGCTCTTTGATGTGACACTTACTGAACTTTGTCTCTCAGATGAGATCAAGTCATCTTTACCTTCAGTCCCCAGCTTTCGGGCTTTAGGGTAGATAAGAACAAGGCTCTACCCTGAGGGTTTTTGACATAAAGCCTTAGGAATTTCTTCTGATACTTTGTTTTCTGTCCTAAGATGATTATGTCCTGGTGGCTTTAAACCCCCTTCACTGTTGTCTGTTGCTTTCAGTTTAAAAAGCATCGGCTTTCCGTTGTACATACAAATACCTATGCAAAGTCTGTGGTGAACATGGCTGATATGGTGAGTACTGACCCTCTTAAGCATTTCCCCTTATTGCTGGTAGATGGGTAATAGAGTGCTTATATTCACATTCCTAAAGTTACACTTTAGCCAGCATGACCTCAGAGACCTGGTGACCTTTCTTGTCTGGGAGGGCGGGCTGGCCAAAGATATGCATGCATTTTTTTTTTCTTATATGTTTCCCACCATAAAAGACAGAGCTAGACCCACAGACTTTAGCAAAGATGCTCACAGTGTACATCAGCACAGGGACAGTGTGGGGACTGTGCCTCTTCAGAAACGCTCAGCACTGTGGCCAAACTCTGATTGGCTAAGCTCCCAAGGAATTCTGTCTAAGTTTTCCTCAACACCATGCAGGTTGTGTAGCAGTCCCCTCCTTAGAGAACCTTTATTGTTCTGCCTTTTTTGTTACAGAAACTCAAGAGTTCATAAATTATTCATCTTGAATACCAAAAATGGACTTGGGGAAAGCCTTGTGTCAAGCATAAGTATTTGTCAAAAGAAAACCTCGTTTGTAAAATTTGCTTTGTTCAGTAGGTTTTCTTTGGCAAATAGTTTGATTCTTTGTTCTTTAAGGGAAGTGTATTCAAATTAGGAAACAGTTGTTTCTTTAATTAAAGCAAAGTCATTTCCAGAAATGGAACTTTGTAGTGCTTCATAAACTGACTTTACCATGAGTGTAGAGATGTGTTCATTTCATTAATGTCCTAGATCTACAAAGACCAACTTAAGACTAGGATAGTATTGGTTGCCATGGAAACGTGGGCTGCTGACAACAAGTTCGCCATCTCTGAGAACCCACTGATCACCCTCCGTGAGTTTATGAAATACAGAAGGGATTTTATCAAAGAGAAGAGTGATGCAGTCCATCTTTTCTCGTATGTAACTTTTTAACTACTTTTACTTTTCCTGGTTCCACATTGAATGCTCTCTTCTTTCTGACTGAAATGTACAATACAATTATTGTGTCATGTGGCTGTGCATTTGGAAGACGTTCTTAAATGTAGATCGTTTGAAATTTTCATGAGGTTTAAGTGGCCCAAGTTATTATTGCATGTCTATTTTATTATTTTTCTAATGTGTTGTCATAGCATCTGCTCATTAAATATGCTGTTAGTCCATACAGAGAATTCCAAGCAATTCCTTATATTTTTTAAAATCGGCACTTTTTAATGCCACTGCTCTCTCTGGTTTGAGTTCTGAGCAAGTTTCTGGAATTTGTTGTCAGTTTCTAACTCTTGGGTTCTTCCTTTCAGTGATGCACATGTTAGATAAAACAGCACACTGTATGCTATAGAATTTTAAGGCCTTATCTAAAACCAGAGCTGTTGAGGACAGTTGTGAGTAGATGTGAAAAATGCATTTTGGGTGTTATTTTTCATTTTTATCTAATTTCAAATTTAGAGAATAGATGTCAGAATTCCATAAGGAAATTACCTATGCACTTTACCCAAATTCAAGACTTGCATTTTTTTTTCTCACTTCTTGCTCAAGAATGAATTAGAGACAACCAGTTTGCATTTACTACTAAATACTTGAGTCATTCAGTGTGGTCACTGAAAAATAAAGACATTCTTTTAAAAATAAAACATTCTTTAAATTATTTTTAAATAAAAAAAGTAAATCTTTTTTTAAAAAACAATGTTTAACACCGTGTGATATTCTTTCACAGTTCGTAGTTTCTGTTTGGTCTAGTCTGTGTTCAGACTTCATCAGTTTCCTTAATGCCCTTCTGTAGCTACAGTCCTCTCTTTGAACATTCAGTACAGTGCTACACAGTGTGTTCAGTTTTTGTCTTTGTAGTCTCCTTTAAGTTGAAGATTTTCCCAGCCTTTGCTTTTATTGAACATGATACTTTTCCAGGAATGTCTGATACTTTATCATTAATTGTATTAAGTCATTTATTTGGGCTAAATCTCTAAGAAAGTGATTTTTGTGTATTCTCAGAGAACATCATATCTTCAATTGATTTCTAGCGATGCATTTCCATACAAGCTAGGCATTGATCACTTGGGAAAGCAACCCTCAGAAACAAACCTTTCCCTTTGATCATGCGTGTAAATCATTTTCACATTCCTTCTTTACCTGGAAAATGTATTGTATGCACTGAGAAAAATAAATGTACTAAATTAACAACAAGAGGGGCTTGGCTGTTTGAACTGTGAACAGTAAGCATTTTTCATTTTCTTTTCTAAAAGGGGAAGTCAATTTGAGAGTAGCCGAAGCGGTGCAGCTTATATTGGTGGGATTTGCTCGCTGCTGAGAGGAGGAGGCGTGAATGAAGTAGGTGTGAACATCTGTGCAATACAAAGTGGTATGATGGCTGAAAACGCTTTCCTAATACCTCAGAAGTAATTTTTCAGTAGTTCGAAGTCTCCAGCTGCTAGGTTGCTTTATCAGTCATCAATATAGTTCCCGTGTTGCCCAGATGACAGATAAGGGAGGAATAAAATAAATTATCTGATGGCTGAGCTAATGTTCTACATAGAATGATTTCCAGATTAAGCCATTCATATAGAGAGACTCTGAACATTAACTTCATTGACAATAAGAATAAAGCCCAAGTGTTAACATTCTTGAATGAGGATTTCTCCACATTGAGTAACCCCCAGAACACTGGCTGGCCACCTCACAAACCCACTGGATGTTGTCTTCTTTGGTCATATTTGACAAATTTGGGGAGACTGAAAAAGTGGCGGGTTTCCTAGAGAAGGGCTCACTCTTACATTGGAAACAATGTAAGAAAAGTGCTGCAGTCTTTGGAAGGCCACATATTGGAAAGTTAAAGATCCTGTTGACCACAGACCATCCTCACTTCCTGACTATCATTATGTTTGCTACAGGTGCTTTCTGTTCCACTTGGGAGGAAAACTAGTTCTAGCTGATTTGACACACTTAGCTTTATTATGTATTATCCAAAGACTGGCTCATTGTATAGAATCCTTAAGTTTTTCGGGGATGTTATCAGATGAAATTTTGATTCAGAATTATATTTAAGTTTCCAAACTACAAAATGAATGCTTTGCTGGCTCATAACATTTCTTCTAAGACTTAGTCACACGTGAATTAGTTTCCTACTACTTCATCCCAAATGTGTGTTCAGTACTAGCTACAGGATGCTTCTACTCAGCTAGAGAAAATATTTAGGGGCATGATAGTGCAGGCCTATAATCCCAGCAACAAGAAGACTGAGGCAGGTGGATCACTATGAGTTAGAGGTAAGCTTAGGCAATGTAGAGAGGCCCAGTTTCAAAAACATAACACACAAAAAAGGGAAGAAAATACTTAGGAATGATTTGTTTTCAATCGTTCCCTACCATTTTCTCTAGACTATCTAAATGGAAAACAATGTTCACTTACATTTACTTTGGTTTTTTTTTTCAGTTTGGGAAAACTGATTTGATGGCAGTAACACTTGCTCAGTCATTAGCTCACAATATTGGCATAATCTCCGACAAGAGAAAATTAGCAAGTGGTAAGTTTTAGTCCTGTGTGAATTAGTTGTATTTATTAAGATAGACACCCTGTTAAATATTTTGTAGAATGAGATTCTTTTTAATTCAGTTGCTTGACCAGGATTGTGGGAGGTACAGCAAGATATGCAAACATGCTACAAAATTTCCAAAGTAATGAAGGGAATATTTACTTCTTATGTGAAAAATTCCCATGTAAAATGAATAGTGAAACTGTGTGCTGATAAAGGCAAAGCTGGATTTAATCCAATAAGGGACAAATTTTGGAATCTGAAATTTGCTTGTGGAGAATTCTAGGTTGTTTGGGACTCAGATCATATTGTACTATGGTTTATTTAATGCATCTCTGCCTATGACCCAAAACACAGAATTTCCTTGTTGAGAGCAGACCTGATGAAGGGCCTAGGAAAGTTTAGATCAACTACAGTAGCATCCATGAAAAACAAATTTCCAAAGTAGATAAAGGCACTTCTCTGTGAATGGTCTCATACTGTGTATTTGAGGTAATAACTTCATTATAACTGTATTCACTTAATTAGTTTAATGACAAATATTATAAATATGGATACTTGTAATAAGAATACCATGTATGGAGAGCTATTATTTCCTGGGTGATGGAATGCTGTATTACAGATATCCACTAGTCATCTGAGATTCAGGATGATCCTACAGGATGCCTGTTCTCAGTCCCACTTTATAGATGAAGTGACTAGATCATAAAAGGATACTGTCTTCAGGATTAGATGTGTACTAAGGGACAAATTAGGATTTTCAAGTCAGGCAGTCTCTGATTCTGGGAACTTTCTGCTTAAACAATCGGAATTCTCTACTGCCTTCTACCAGAGGCCTCAGCACCAGGGATTTTGGGAGCAGGAAGACATAGTAGTATTCCTCTCAAGCTGGTGAAGCTGGGAAGCCACTGGGTGCCACTGTCTTTCATGTAGCTATTTAAAGTGGGTGGTCTAAAAATATGACCATTTGTGAAGCGTTGGGGCAATGTATGTGACCCACATGGGATCATTTTGTCTTTTATCCATTGCAGCCAAAGCTTTTAGTGTAAGTAGGGTTAGAAAGCAGTGTTTTGAACGCAGAGTTAAGATACAGCAGAAGCTACCTCCATGCATTCAGTCTGTAACTGGTGGTGCCTCCGTTTTCTTTTAGGTGAGTGTAAATGTGAGGACACGTGGTCTGGATGTGTGATGGGGGACACCGGGTGAGCCACCTCTACTTCAGAATGTGACACTCTGTAACTTAGTGCACTCACTACAGGCATTTATAAAAAAAACAAAAACAAACAAAAAAAACAAAAGAGAAATGTTCTTGATGGGCCTGCATGTAAAAATTTTTTTTAACAAAATGACCTCTTATTTAAGACAAAACAGAACAAAAGTACTGGAAGTGAATGAGAGGACCCTAGGAACTTTTTTCAGTCTTAGGTGTAGGCAGAATTATAATGATGTAACAACTTTCTTCTTCTGTTAGGTCTGCTTGCTAAATCCCCTTTCTTTTATCTCCTTCAGCTCAACTGCTAAACTGACTCTCAAAATGAAACCAAAACAGTGCAGCCTGTATTTGTAGCTTTCTCAGGTCCACAGTGATGATGGTGGTGGGATGGCTTCATAGTGCAGTGTTGTTGAACACAAGGTTGGGGAGAAAAATGAAGATTTATCTGATTTTCATTTTTTATACAGTCCTGTCTTCTTCACACAGTCAGACTTCAACTCTTGTCTTTTTTTTTTTTCTAAATAAATTGTTAGAACCATTCATTTGGTTCAAGACTTACTACTCTGCCCTGATTTATAGTTTGCTTTTCTTCTGCTATTATTATTTCAGTATCATTCCACACACCCAGGCTTCTCTCAGGCTTTATGTTTTACTCCTGCTTCCAGTAGCCTCAATGGGCTGTAGAGAAGAAAATGGTACACACTCGTATCCTGGCTTTCCAAAGGGAGACATGCCCTTCATCCTCAGCAAGGCAGCCACCTTGAATTTTGTCAGATTAACCCGTGCCATCAATTTGCAACATTTGTTTCCTAAATACCAATGTGCTTCCCAGCACTTTTGTGAATCTCAACTGTCTGAAAAAATAAATGTCTGCCAGGTGTAGTAATACATACCTGTAATCCCAGAATTTGGAAAGTGGGAGCAGGAGGATAGGTAGTTAAAGGTCATCCTCTGCTATTTTGTGAGCTGGATGCCAACCAAATATACATGCAACTGTCTCAAAAAACAAGTGAAAACGAGTAAGGTTCAAATTTCTTACTTTAATGTTTAGATGGTTTATCTATCCATATCTTCATTCTCATTTACCATCTCATTTCCTAGTCTTCTGTTGTTTTCTTATCATAATCCTCATGGACTTTTAGCTTCTCCAAATTTGCTTATTATGATTATATTTTAATTTCCAACTCCTTTTGATTTCCCAATTAAGCTATTTTTTTTCTTTTGAATGTCTTCCTCTGTTTTCTCGATCCAATCACATTTCTAGCCATCTTTGAGTTTTATCATGATTTTAACTGATGCATGATATTTTTTGTGTGTAGTGTATATACGTGTAGGTGTGTGCTGGTCTTCACACCCAAGTATACATGAGAACATGGAGACCAGAGGTCACCATTGGCTGTCTTCCTTTATTGTACTTTGCCTTCTTCTTTGAGATAGGCTCTCTCATTGAACCTGGAGCTCATCAGTTAGGCTGGCTGGTTAGCCACCTCCAGGGATTTACCTTATATCCCCTAGTGCTAGCTACAGATGGATGTTGCTGGCCTCAGCATTTGCTGCTGGCTCAGCTTTTCGGTCTTTTTTTGCCTCTGCAGCAGGTGCTTTACCACCTCAGCTGTCTTTCACAGTGTTCCCTGAATTACAATTTAATTCTCTATACACATTACCCCTTTAAACATTTAGTCATACATGCTTAAAGAATTATATTTTCACTATTTTTTATTCCTACCTCATACCTCTTTAACTAAACTTGATGTCCAGTAAATATTTATTGGTTCAGTTTGAATTTTGAACTCTACAGATAACAAGGACAGACAGTAAGTGATGGTAGGAAGTATACATACAAACATGTTTATAAAGTGTTTTAAACATTTTTCTTTATATATCATTAATGATAAATTTTGTAATTGCAGTTTTCCAGTTATTAATATATGTCATGTGCGGACCTTTTTCATTAGTGGTTTTATTTAATATAAGCGAGGTATAGCACATGCCTTCAATCCTGGTACTGGGAAGATAGAGGTAGCTAGATTTTTGTGAGTTGGAGGCTAGCCTGATCTACATAGAAAGTTTCAGGTCACCCAGAACTAAACAGTGGAACTTTGTATCAAAATTTGTATTTAGTATATCTGATTATTTTTAATTAGTGACATTAAATAGACAATCCCTTTAGTATGAAGCACAATTACAGAAAAATCACTTAAGATAGGTGGATAGATATCTTTTTCCTTGAAATTCTCCATCCTTTAAATGGACACACTCTAGAGAAGGCCCATTTGTATAAGTGTTACCTGCTATGGTTCTTTAATTTGATCCCTGCTGCTCAGCATCACCTGATACCCCATAAGTACATGCCCTCTCATTTGGTTCCTGAAGTTCGTTGGCACTGCTAATGATGGAAACATGATTGAAATCAATACTACCAAGTAACTGAAGGATGTGTTGAATGCAGTTCGTACAAAATGGAAGGCAAACTTCTGTGACCTACATCCTTAAACCGTTGATATATAAAACAGATTCACTGTTGAAAGTGTGGAAAATTTGTTTCCCATCACTGCTGAAGGCTGAGGAATGGTTCTGGTTTCCTATTGTACAGCATGTAGGATTCTTGGCAAGGCTGTGACCCTAGTGAGTACATTTGCAGGACTAAAGTCACAATAGATTGTTTTACACCCTGAGGCAGGGTCCCATGTACCCCTAGCCAGCCTTGAATTCATCATCCTCCTGCCTCTACTCCTTGAGGTCTGGGATTTGAGGTGTGTGCTGCTGTGGCTAACTTAAACAAGACTTTGACATCCAAGGTTGAGCGGGGAGCCAATGTAGTGTCGAGCAGTAGAAGAAACAGGGAACTTGGAGGAAGCCTTTCTTATAATGGGTTATCTGGCAGAGATGTGTAGGATAGACTAAAGGGAACCTGTAAGATCTCTGAAAGAAAAAGGGAAGAAGATGAATCTTTTCATGTTAAAAATAGTTTGTCTTTTTAGGAAAAAGGGGAGTGAAGGAATTAGAATAGTTTAGATGACTTATACCTGCTACAATTTTATTTGGGATGCATTTTAGTAAAAAAATAAAAGTAGTTTCAGCATATAATAAATTATAGTAGTTAATTTATGAAATATTAGCTACTATGCTAGAAAGAAGTAACACTATGGGTAGAAACAAGTTCTTGAAGGCTGGAGAGAGAGGAGAAATCATATGTGTTCACTGTCTAGACACAGTGGGGGCAGCTGTGGTCCTGCCACTGGAGAGATGGAAATACGATTGTCAGTTCAAGCCAGTATGGACTACTTAGTAAAACCCTTCTCAAAAAATAAAATAAATAAAAGCTATTTGTTATTATCTTGTTTTTCCTTTTAAGTAAAATTTCAAGATAAGACATTTTTTGAGAATATAAAAATAAAATTGACATCTTTCTCCAGAGGTATTCATAGTTGATTTTTAAAAGTTACTACATTTTAATTAAGTTTTAAATTTCTATTTTTATTATTTTACAGATTTTGGCTCCTGCTAGATATATAAATATTCACTTTACAGTTAACACTGAGCAGCCATCATTTCCCTAACAATTCTTCAAAACTGTGACTATTAATAACTCTATGCTATTCTAGTCTGGCTACCTGTCAAGAGTTTGGTTGGCTATCCTCTTATTCGTCATCATTTGTGTTACTTTCATGTTCTTTGCTATTATACATTATGCCACTTTAAATGTTTGTGCATATAGCTAACTGTTTTTGTAAGAAAAAAAATCTAAAAAACAGGAATTATTGATCCAAAGGTGTGTGTATTTTGAGGATTCTTAATGTACATTTCTAAGTTCTTACATCATCGTATTTCTTTTTTCCTCTGTATAATTTATTTCTGTTTTCCTGTTACATAATTTTAAAACAATTTCAAACTTTAAAAAATGTTCCAAGATTAGTAAGAAAAGATCCTATAAGTACTCTGAATCATATGTTGCTAGTTTGGTGCTCAGTCGCCCTCACCTTTGGATGTATTTCCTATAATAGGAACCCTCCAACCCAGCCAGAGAAGAGCCAGGAAAGTTGTGTAGTTCCCCACATTCAGGACTGACCCATATATCAGAAATGTCATTTACACCTGAAGTTTCAGAATGAGACATCATATTAGGTTTAAATTCTTTATATACCTTCAGACTGGAACAATCCCTTAGATTTTCCTTAGCTTTTATGGCCTGACACATATTGTAAATTATAGGCAGTTATTTTGCCTGATGTTTGAGTTGTAGCTAGTTGTATGTTATTCATTCAGTATGAAGTAGTTGTTTATTGTCTTTGATGTAAATCATAGGTGCTGTATGCTTATCTTTCTTTTAATTCATATGCAAATAAATGAACAACCAATAGCCACTACACATTGCTAAATGAAAAGTTTAGAAATATAATGGTTGACTTGGATGTGGATTTTTAACACTGTTCAAATTTATGTCTAGCAATTAAACAAGGAATACTAACACTGTACCGAGAAATTCACTTCCTGTTTCTTACAGCTATTATCTCCCTAAAAAGTTCACTCAGTGCAATATTGAGGAGTATCATGACTTCCTGAATAGTGGTGGTGGTGCCTGCCTGTTCAACAAGCCTTCTAAGGTAATAAGTGTGGTCAAGACTTATTATTTATGAATCATTCCACACTTTCATAAACACCAACTTTTATCTACTGAATCTAAATTTGGCCTGATGGGCATATGTCTTCATTTCAAGACCAGCTTTAATCTGGGACAAATGGGGTATTTCTGATGGTATAGCTAGCAGGCAGAAATGAGTGGGGGGTTTGTTTGTGCTGTTTTCTTTCACCCTTTCTAGTTAAAAAAGCATGGGCTTGTATTTCTATTCTGTTATGTGAAAACTTTGGCTAACTTCTCAATGAATATTACATAGCTATTAGTAATTCCTGAGTGCTAATGTTGCATATCATCAGAGGATAAATTATATTCAAAAGACAAAAAAAATGATGAAAGTCCAAAGGTCAAATGGGCTCAAAAATCTCCTCTTGGTAGGTCAAAATTGCTTTAATTACAGGAGTTACTTGTTACAACTCTCTGCAAATCTGTGTTAATGGCTGTAGTTATGGTTATATGCAACTGGTCCATGGGCATAGTAATTGTGTGATCAACTTCTAATCTAAAAGTAACTTTGTTCAAAGAGCAGTTAAGAGCACCTACTAGTCTCCTGTTGTGTGGCTGACACCTTCATGTAACTCCATCTCTAGGGGATCCAGTGTGTCTGGCCTCTGAAGGCATCGGTAGTCCAGTGCATTACACACACACACACACACACACACACAAGTGCAGGCAGAGACTGAGAAATCGAGAGAATTAAACCTTAAAAGATGAAATGAAAGCACCCCTCCTTAGTATAGATTTAAAAAATGTTCCCTTCATAATTTTATTTTTAATTTTATTTTTATGAGTGTTTGCTTGCATGTATGTATATGAACCACATGCATGCTTGGTGTCTGAAGAGTCCAGAAGAGTTCCAGAATGCTGGAACTACAGTTACAGATAATTGTGAGCTGTCATTTGAGTGCTAGGAAATGGACCTGAGTCCTCTACAAGAGCAACAAGTGCCCTTAACCACCAAGTACCCTCTCCAGATCTGCAAAGATAATTCTTAACAGGGTAGTAGCAAATAGAAAAATAATTATAATTGGATTTTCACAAGTGATTAGACATGATAATCATGGTAATTTTAGACAGCTGATTAATTATATGGACAGTGTCTATTACTGTTCATGTTTCAGGTAGGAATCTCTACTATGTTGCTTGTATCATTTTGTGTCTTCTTACATTGTGTTGTGTTGTGTTGCATTTTATTACTATTGTATCCAGCACCTCCTACACACCAAATGTGTTGTGTTGTTAAGTACTATCCTACCCCGTGCTAAGACTTTAGTCTAGGCTTCCGGACTCCAAATGTCCTGCTTTCTCACCGAAATGGGTATTCGGATGTCAAACTGGCTTGGTTTTCCTCAATGGCTGGGTCATTTATTTGGTGACATTCACCAGACCCTTCTTGGTGTCCATATTATATAATATAAATGAATATTAAAATAGAAATCAGAATTGATCTTCTAAAGTTCGAAGTTCTAAAGCTGTACTTTTTAGTTTAAAGTAAATAAAAATGTGGTTGGAGTGGACAGCATACAGGCAGTGTGTGTTGCTGTGGCGGCAGCCCTTGGGGTCTTTGATGTTTCCATTTCAGCCCCTTCATGTTTTTCCTCCCACAGCTTCTCGATCCTCCTGAGTGTGGAAATGGCTTCATTGAAACTGGAGAGGAGTGTGACTGTGGCACCACTGCGGTAAGTCCCCTGTCATTTTTGAAGACAGGTTTTAGGTAGCTAGGGGTCATTCTAACTCTGCCCCCTTGAGATAATACTGAGCATTGTATGTAGAAATTTTATAGGATTTATGAATGAATGATTGTCATTGTGAGTTTGAGTATTTACTTTAGAAACTATTTTGGGGAAAAGGACATTTTCGAGGGTTTCGCAACTGCTGATATTCCTTAGGAATGCGCCCTTGAAGGAGCAGAGTGTTGTAAGAAGTGCACCTTGACCCAGGACTCTCAGTGCAGTGATGGCCTCTGTTGTAAGAAGTGCAAGGTAAGTCACTGGCCGATAATGGCCAAAGGTTGGAAGGGAGATGTGCTTAAGCTGTCAGCTTAAGTATATATAACCTACTAACCCTGTCTAACACACAGCAAATGACTAAAGTCCTAGTGGTTATAGGATCCTCCTGAAGCCTCCTGAAGTGTGGCTTTGTTAGCATTCTCATATAATAGTAGCTTACCCAGTGTCTTAAACCAGTAAGTGAGAGAGCTGGGGCTTGAACCCTGTTACTTCTCAGAGGCCACCCTCCTCATCCTGACTCCTTAAAGAGAAACAGGGGTAAACTAATCTTGGAATTGAAGAGGTTCAACAATTCTTTTCTTGCTGTGTGTCTTGGTCCATCCTTCAGTGTTAGCCACTTAGGGATCAATAGGAATGCTTCAGGCAAGAACATACTGCGTTGACATGGAGATGAGAGTGGATCTTTATCTCCTATCCCATTCCATCCTTCCCACAGCCTCTTCAGACCGACCTCCAAATACTTAAACTTTTAGATCAAAATTAAAAGTTACTTAAGGTATAGCACTCCCAAAGAATTGTTTTTCTTGTCCTCATACATCATATTCTGTTATTTCTGAGATTTAGGACCTATTTATCTCTATTTTATGTTTTTATGGAGCTGAGCCAAGTACCTGTAGAGTAGTTGGTATAGATTATCAGCACATGTGTTTTAAGTGGCTATCTGAACATGGAGGTACTTCCAATGATTATTTGCTGATTGGATAGCTTTAATGGGTTAAAAGAAGGTAGCACATAAAACTTTCATGGCAGCTGTCCCTCTATGGGCTAAGCACTTTTGGCTAGTGTCATCTTAAATCTGGATTTCCCAGCTGCCACCAACATGCTTGTCCTGATAAGAATAAGACATACTGTCTGTAATCAGGGTTTGCCTTGTGCTTTGTAGGATGTTAGCAGCATCCTTGGGTTGTAATCATTAGATTCTAGAAGAATGTCTCCAGATGTTGAAATGTCTCCTTTGGGGCAAAATCACCCCAGCCTGATACCGCTGTCTTAGATAACACCCACAGGCACACTTTTGGAATTGGCATGGTCATCCTAACTTTGACAGTTGAGCTGTTCTGATCTAAGGTTGCTACCTGCAGAGGCTGGCTCAGAGGAAGGTGGCTGCCTGCTGACCCCCAGCCCTGCCAGCAGTGGTCCCTGTTGTTTCCACTGCATTGCTGCATCTCTGGCTGTTTTCTGCGGGGTCTCTGAAAGCACTTTCCTCAAGGGGAGGTTAAACCATATGTGATTCAGATGCTCTCTCTCTCGGCTCAAGTGCCTGGAAGGCTCTGACCAGGGGGTCGGGGAATAGGGTCCTGGGCATGTTTTATTGAGTGAAGCACAAACACAGATGGATCCAGTTCCCAATATCAACAGCTTTAAAAGGAAAAAAGGGAGGGGTAAAGTGAGGGAGCTTCTGACAACTTTACATGTCCCTGTTCTACTATGGTCCAAGGAGTTAAATTGCATCTATAAGTCCAGTGAGGCTCAAGATTGATTTCACAGCATCACACGAGTAAGAAGTATTTGAGCTATTTGGAAACCAAGAAGCGCAAACAAGCCTCTGATAACACTTGTCCAGAGGTGCTAATAACAGAAAATCAGAGAAGAGTAAAAGATATATGTAGAGATGAGTCCGGGGATGGAAAGGAAAACTTGGGAGGAACATTTTCCTGGGAAGTAATTGTGATGTGGTCCAAAATGTAACTTAAGCAGATGCAAAAGCTGTACACTAGGTGTAAATAAGAAAGAAGGATAAAGTGGAATCCAGATTACTTGGCAAGGATTCCTGGAGCGTTCTCCTTGAAGCCCTCTCCATCCAGGATATTGTAATGTGTGGTGACTATGGAAGTTACTTCACCTATGAGAAACTGTCTTACAATTATTAAAATAGCAGTTTGTTCAATAACTGTGTTTTGTGCAGACTGTCATCCTAAAATAATTTAAGTGTTTTTCATGGGACTATGAGAGGTTTTTTAATGGGACTATGAGAGGTTTTTTTTTTTTTTTTTAATCTTTTCACAGTTTTGCACATTGAGTGATGTTCTTTTCAGTTTCAGCCTCTGGGGACTGTGTGCCGAGAGGCAGTCAACGATTGTGATATTCGTGAAATATGTTCAGGAAATTCAAGCCAGGTAACCTATACAAAAAATACTCTATACAGGATAATTTCAGGGAAAGTGGGGACATCTTTGGTCTGTTCCAAGAAAAACGGGGCAAGATGTCACTTGTCTCTGTCATGTCACATCAACCTCCGTGTGGGGGAAGGGGGTTGGGCATAGAACCAAGGCCTGTGTATGAAAGAGGAAAATGTTCAACCATCAAGATACATGTCCAGCTCTTACATTTGCTTCATTGTTGGCTAGCTTCTTTTTTTATTATTATCTTTGCAAAATCTCAAATGCCATCACTAAGAAACAAAGAGACAACATAACCACCTGCTTTCTGTGTTGTGACTGAATAAATAAACCCTGAAAATGGGACAAGGTAGGTCCCTGATCATGAAGGGCATCTTGCACTTTCCCTGTGACCAGGTAACACAAGACTAGGAGAGAAGGTTGTGTTTTGTATTGTTTGTGTTTTATTTAACAAAACCATAGAAACGGATATTCATACATAGCAGGGCAAGAGCTGCTATCATTCTTCAGAGAAGACGGATTAAATAGTGATATAACTATAATAATAAAAAGATTGATTTTAAAGGATACAGAGAGATCTTTATGTAAGAGCATTCTCCCCTTTTACTATGTAATTAGCATTCTTTCAAGCCAATGCCTTCTGGAAATATGGACATAATAATTACCACAAAGGCTCTTAGGTATATGTATACTACATCAGTGTGATTATAAATAAGCAGGAATTTGTTAACAATCTTAATTCCATGCTTAACAGAGATTCTCAGTTGGGTTAGGTTAAATAGGATTTTTAAATAGGGGATTGTTCTAGTACACTCTTAGCTTCATTTATTATGTTGCATCCTTTGTAAATGATATCTGTAAAATCATATATCAATGATATGAGGAAGTTTATGTGACAAAAAATAAAGAAGCAGAAAATAATGTGTCTGTAGTTTCCTTTTATTTTTATCTTAAACTTCAGGTTTTATAGAAAAGGGTAGAGATGAATGTCTAGGAGTAAAGCTAGTTGCATTGGGTAGCTTCTCTGTCACATCTTTTTTTCTGTCCTTTTACACTGGCCATCTTCCCCAAGAGACTATATAATTACATGTTTTTCTCTCACCGCAGTCTTGAATTGTATATGGCTGGTTGTATCATCATCAGACTACAAATTTTAAGTTGCTTCAAAGCAAAAGCATGATGAAGTATGACATTCTTTTCAAAAGTCAACAGCAGAGGCGACATGAGTCTTTTCCCCTCCCTTCAAACTCCTCCCCATTTTTCTTTCTTGTAAAAAAAATTTTTTTATTTTTAAAATTCTTTAACAGAATGAGTCCATAGTAGATTTTCATTTTAGTTGATCTTGTCTCCATATTCCTGTCCTGCTTTCCTCTACTGTATACTTAAGATACTGTATACTTAAGATACTTCCAGCATCTTAAGTCAAAGGCTGTATTGCTCCTAGTGGCAAAAGGGAAGAAACTCTACTTTTGGCTTCACTGATGGGGGCCTGTTCCTCACTTTTGTCCTAAGCCCGGTCTTCTTCTCTAAGTAATTGTGTGTCTGAATGAAGCATATGTTAATAAATACGTTAGCCACTGAACCATTCTAGTAAGTTCTTTGCTAATCAGTTTTTGCCTTGGGTAGATGTTATATTTTTAAAGTGATGCTCAACAAACTTCCTCATACCTTCTTTTAATCTTCTGCTTTTTATTTATAGGTAGTTTAAGGGACTAGGTGTTAGTATTCAGGCATCTCTACTGTCCTGTCCTTGGGGTTCTGACAGGATATGCCCTCAACTGCACCACCTATGCATTTTCACTATGTTCCCTTTAAAAGGGCCCTGCCCACCTCCCATCCCTGTCTCTCTCTCTCTCTCTCTCTCTCTCTCTCTCTCTCTCTCTCTCTTTCTTTCTTTCCCTTTTTCTGTTCCACTCTCTCTCCCTTTCAATTCTCCTCTTTCCTCTCTCTCCCCCCCTTTCTTCTCTCCTTTCTCCTGCTGCTTCTGTCCCTGGAGGTCAGTTTCCTTGAGGCTGGTCTTCCCCCTCCCTTTCCCTTTTATGTGATCCCTCCCTCCCAAAAAAACCCTCTGCTTGAACCCTGTCTTGTGGCATCGTTCTCTTGCATACTACTTTTCTTACATTACAGCACTAGGTGTATTATCAAATAATTTTATAAAATGAGAACATTAACAGGATTGAATCAGCCTTGTGTTTGTTCTACATTTGGGTGACAGTTTGTTCTTTCTTCCTAGTGTGCCCCCAATGTGCATAAAATGGATGGGTATTCCTGTGATGGTACTCAGGTAGGCCACTCAGTTTTACCTAAAATTTCCATGAGCACCAGCAGGAGAGAAATGAAATGCTGAAATTTTATGTCGGTAAGAAGATCAGTTTGAGTGATTCATAATCAATTCTGATGACCACACTGATGGGCTGGTTCCCAACTGTATGTTCTTTTTTCTGTGTCTAGCACAGCAGACATTGTTTTCACTGATGGAATTTCATTTTCTCATTTTAGGGAATTTGCTTTGGAGGAAGGTGTAAAACAAGAGATAGACAATGCAAATACATCTGGGGGCAAAGTAAGTTCAGTCATGTAGCTTGATTGTTTTTCTACACAGTATTGTCACACTCCTTTAAGGGAATATGGACTAGAAGTGAATTGTTAATACTTAATAAGTAGAGATTTCTTAAAACCACTTCTGGATAGGGGAGAGACACTTTTCTAGAAATTAGAGAAAAGCACCTTCCTTGAGAAGCCACGGCCCCACAATTCTGGCTAGTTGGTAGTGCATGTGGATGAGACAGAAGGTGCCTTTGCTGCCAGGCAGGCAAACCCACCTGGTGCACAGCTTGGAGAATAGAGCAGACTTGATTTCAGCTCCTCAGCTGAGTGCCCTTGAACAAAAGATCTCACATGGCCCTGGTATAGCCATATGGGATGGGCATGGTCCCTGGCTAGGGTATCCTTGCATTAGACATAAGAATTTTAACTAGAGTTGCTTTTTCCTGGTCTACTATCTTCTTTAAACTACAACTGGCTTTTGTAGTTATGAGTGACCTTCTGCTGAGGTAGCTGTCTTGTAAAAGACAGAAATGTTACTGTTGCCCTCTTCAAAATCTGTCTGTTTTAAAGTATACTATCTTAACATTTATATTTAAATAATAGTATTTAAATTATGCTAAATCTAAATTTTAATTTAAATGTTGTTTTGTCTATTTTCTCCAGAATTTCTAGGCAATATTTTTGGAAAATGTTTTTGTTCTTAACTCCCTAAAAAATATTTTTCAGGCAGTGTGTTAGTATGTAGCCTAGTTATATATCTTGGCCAGTTAGACCTTGAATTTATAAGCTTCTTGCCTGGCTTCCCAAGTGCTGGAGTTACAGACATGTAACTGTCTGTATTATTCGAAGTTCTTTTGCAAGATGATTTATACTAGGAAAAACTATAAAATGAATCATAATCATGAGATATCAGAGGTAGTGGTTACAACCCTTTAGGAAAGGAGCATGTATTCTCTGAGTCACTTGAGAAGCATTGGAATGGGGAAAAAATGTAGTCATGCCGGTTTGTATGCAATTAGCTACTGTTTAATATGCATGTCTCTGAAATGCCTGGTACCAGAAGTGTGTGAGATTGTGAAATTTCATGTCAGGGAATACATTTGGGGATGTGACCCAAGTCTAACCATGAGGTTCATTTGTGTTTTATGTATACACAGATATCCTAAGGATAATTTTATGTAGTACTTTTAGCATTTTAATACACCTGCATTTTTACTGAGACTTCTTATATTAGATCAGGACATGGACTTTTCTAATTATTTTCTGTGAATGTGTGTGTTGCACATATGTATGTGCAGGTGTGCATGCCTGTGTACGCACAAAAGGCAGAGGAGGACATCAAGTGTACAACTCCATTACTCTGTCTATCTTATCCTCTTGAGACAGGCTCTCACTGGACCAGCAGCTAAGCTGGCAGGCAGCAAGCCTTGGCCATCCTCCTGCCTCTACTCCCCATAGCTCAGAGGTCACAGGCACATGCATGTTCACATGTGGCATTGTACATGATTTGAACCCAAGCTCTCATACTTTCACAGTATGTTGTTATTCATTGTGCCATATCTTCAGTGTAGATCATGTACTTTTCTACATATGATATATTTTTAGTTCTTAAAAGGTCTTGGAACAGGAAGCATTTCAGATTTTGGATTAGCAATACTTGTGTCACCAACTATCATTTGATTAGTTTACAAAAGTCTTCATTACTTTTTGTTCCTCTATGTCTCTCTCTGTCTCTCTCTCTGTCTCTGTCTCTGTCTCTCTCTGTCTCTCTGAAATCAGATCTCATGTGCATAGGCTGGTTTTGAATCTCCTATACAATTTAGGAGGATGATCTTGAACTCCTAATCCTCCTGCCTCCATCTCTGGATTGCCAAAACAACGGGCTTATCCCCCCTTCTTGGCTGGAAAATCATTTTGTTCTTGCAGGTGACTTTGATAGCCAACGCTAGCTTCAGAAAAGATCAAAACCCTGCAAAGATGATGTAATACCTTAAAATGGTCTTTGCATTTCAGAGACTTAGCACGAACCCAATCTCATCTCAAATCAAAATACAAGTTTTTCCTTTTTATGGCAGTTAAGAATTAGTAAGTAAGGTGAAATTATGCCATTTCTTGAATCTGGTTGTACTGTGTAGCTATTTGAATAATATTGCCCTCCTTAGTAATAATGTTTCTGATTGAGACTCATGCATTCGGTATTGAGATTAAAATATGTGTTCAAGGATAGCACCATCTCCTAATTAGTGTCAGATCCTGGGGCGTATTGTCATAGTCTGTAGCCTAACTCCTCTCAAAGTTCTGAATATACCTATTTTCTTATTTTAAATAAGGTTTCATGGAAGATGCACCCAAGCCATGTCTGTGATATGGTACACCTTTTATAAGTGATGGTGCAATTTTTGTTTTTGTCATTGATAACACCATAGCGAGCAAGGCTTTAAACTGCAGCTTCCCTTGCTACAGACCTGTGAACAGCTCCTGAGTTCACTCCATCACTGATGGGAAATTCTGTTCTGCTGCAGAGGTAACAGCATCTGACAAGTACTGCTATGAAAAGCTGAACATCGAGGGGACTGAGAAGGGCAACTGTGGAAAAGATAAAGACACGTGGATACAGTGCAACAAACGGTGAAAACTGATGCTAGCCCAGACTTCATCCTTCATTCCATTTACAAGCGTAAATTCCAAGTGGAATGTTCCTATTTGGGTGCTAATAAAACATGCTATCTTGACTGTTCTCATTCTTTCCCAGAGCCTCATCATCACAAATGATCCCAATTCTTGATATGCACCTGGACCTCTTGCCTAGGGGTCTAAGTTATCCTTATAGTTGCTACACTTTCTCACCTAGACAGGATGTGCCAGCATCCTAAGATTGAGGAAGAATAAAGCCATCACCTATATGTTGAGTGGATTAGCTAGCTCTGACCTTTCTTAACTACCTCTCTTGTGTTTGCTAAATATCTAAGTGTTTCATTGTCCCATGTAGATAAGAATAATTGACTCCAATGTCAAGTCATGAATCGTGGTTGTTTTTCCCCGTTGCTTCCTACCATTTATTATGAATTAATCCTTTCATTTCCATTGTTATTAGAACAGCTGAGTCCAATAATTTAACTACTCCAAGAATCTCTTGAGTTTTCTTAACTGACATTTCTCAAGCATCCTGTTACCAGAATAATCTTATTCTATGTCCTTTTGAATATGTCAATTCTTTGCTCAAATTTCACTGGCTCTGCGTAGCTGATTAGTACAGTAGTGCTTCTCATATAGTGAATACACATTGTGTATTTATTTCACTTTAATAAGCCTGCCACTTAAACATTGGGACAGCCCTCTTGATTTATAGACAAGGCAACCAAGGCAATATCAGTATCTATGCCTAATTCTAAGGAATTAGTATCTGGTATTCTGGTATCACAATGATCTCTTGATTTTTCTGCTGAAAGCCTGTGATCTTAATTAGCAAATAAAATGGAATCCCAGGCTAGGCACAGTAGTGCACACTTTTAATCCTAGAACTTGGAAAGCAGAGGGAGGTGGATCTCTGTGTCTGTACAGTGAGTTCCAGATCAAGGCTACATAGTGAGACCCTGTCTCAAAAGGGACAGAGGAACAAGAAGCAAGAAGAACCTAACCAGGCACATCTTCCATGATTTGTGCCAAACCACAGGTTTTTTTTTTCTTTCCTCCTTTGATCTCCCAAATTCTAGCAAATTTTACTATTATTAAGACCTACAGCACCCTGCCCCATGTTAATGTGTTTGTTTGAGCTACTCATTCCTTAGAAGTAGTTCTTACATCTACACCAACACCAGTGAGAGAATCATCCATTTTTCAAGGCCCATTTGGAAAACATTTTCTGCATCAATTATTTCCTGATTGGATCTCCCAGTTCCCCTCTGAGCGCTCACAGTCACAGACCTTGTGCTATTCTTATGACATAACTGATGTAGCTGATAGATAATAAATACTAACAAGACAGAAGACATTCCTCCAAAAGTATAAGTTTCCTTTTATCCTTGGGGAAGAGATCATGTCAGTAACCGATACTCTGTTAACACAGGGATGTGCTTTGTGGTTACCTTTTATGCACCAACATTGGCAATATCCCAAGGCTTGGAGAACTTGATGGCGAAATCACATCTACATTAGTTGTACAGCAGGGAAGAACATTAAACTGCAGGTAACTATCTAACCTTTTTATGATCAAATTAGTCACTTTAGTTCCCAAGACCACAGATCTGCTGCTGTTTCCAGTGTATGTGAAAGTTCATAGTCTGAATTTGAATCTAGTCCATAAAGGTGATTGAGTAAATCCTAACAGAAAAGGGATGAGAAGCTGTTAAGAAAGAGGCTTGTGGACTGTTATGTCATTGCTGGAATTATGTTTAGTTGGTGAGTAGAATCCTCCAGGGTTTGGCCTGCATTCCCTTCTCACTATGAACATTTGGGACTTCTGGATAGAGTTACTCATCACATGGCTGCTCATTCTGGTTTTTTTTTTTTTTTTTTTTCTGAAGTCCCACAAAATTAACTTTCTTTGGAAGTAATATATCTTCAGGAAAGTACAAAAATGGAGTAGAGGCATTAACAGTCCACATCTGGCTGTGTGGCTCATACTTAGGGGAGCCTTTTGAGAAAGTTGAATTCATAGCTCAGTAAGAGGAAAAGCTGAAACCCAACCTGAGATGTCTGGTAATGTCTCAGAAGACTGAGAAGTTGACAGCATACTCTGCTGTTCCATGAGGGTTTAGGTGAGTTTCAAGGAAAGTTTTTTTTTTTTTTTTTTCAGAAAAAGGCTGTTTGGGGAGAGAAAGAAAAGGAAAAAACAGGAGCTTAATGTACAGATTCCCAGACTCCTTTCATGACTCAGTCACAACAGGGCTAGCCCACCCTTTCATTGGAGATTCAGGCTTTGTCTCCACAGCGAGTGAAAGAGAATATCCCTATAAGTTGAAGGATCATGTGGAAGTGGTTCAGCTCTCTGAGAATGCCCTGGAAGTTTCAGTCATCCGTCTGGTCACTGCTGACAGGCATGCAAAGAACGTCTCCAACATGAAAAACCAGAGTGAACAGAAAACCTTGAGACTTTTTTTTATCATAAAATGAAAATATAATGTCCTACTTTAATCAAACAGACTATGTAAGAAAAAGATTCTGTTGGATTAAAATACAACAGCAGAAGTGAAGCTTGGTGGTTGAAATTGTCTCCCTAGAGTAGGGCAACAACAAAGAAAAGAAGCTGTTTACCTTTGGGTCTTTTTTGTCTATCTATTCATCTGTCTGTCCATATCTATCTATCTACCTACCTACCTACAATCTATTATCTACCTATCTTTCATTGCTTCTATTTTCCTGGGGAACCTTAACTAATATATTTACAAATATTAAAAAAAATCAAAGTAAACTTTGTTTTTTACTTAAAAAAGAGAACAGTGAGGACAAACTCACCAATTGGAATAAAAATAAAGAAAAACAGAGAGATAGTATGGAGAAGTTGTCAACCAGTGACATCAGAGACAGATATAAACTTCATTATGGGAATTGAGCATTGTGGGGCAGAGTCATCAAGTTTCCACAGAAGACTCTTGGGAATTAGAGTGGCTTAAGGTTTGTTACCAGTAATCCAGGAAATCAGAAGACACTGGAAAACTATTTGAAAATTAAAAGTTTGTATTATACCCAAGCCACATCAGACTCAGACCCCTAGAACACATCTCTAATCCCAGCACTCAGAGGTTGAGGATGGAGGAGGATGACTTTGAGACAAGTCTGGACTACATAACAAAATCCTTTCTTTAAAATAAGATATACTTTGAAACTAGAAAAATGACATTTTAGCATGCAAATTTTCCCCAAATTTACTTTCCTATACTTCTCTTCAAACATTATACCCCATTAAACAATTATACCCCATAAAAGTGAAGATTAAACAAAGGTAAAGAAAGGCAAAGTATAGACCAAGCAGGGTCTTCCACTGAGAGACAGCATCACACAGAGGCTGATAGTGAGAGGGATCCAACTCTGTGCCAGGAACAGGGCAAAAGTGAGCAGACAGGAGGGAGCTGGTGGGAGTCTAGGAGAGCTATCCCCAGGAAGGAGCTGGCAGGACTCTAGGAGAGAGGTCCCTGGGAAGATGAACTGATGCTCAGCTGTGTTTTCAGTGGGGATTCAGCCAGAGAGTTCGGATTAATTTTGTATTAAAGATAGTAAATGCGAAGGAAAGTAGACATATAAACAGCCAACAAGGAAAAGAATAATCTACTGTAAGACAAAAAGTAATTCAGAGAATGAGTGTTTAATCATGGCAGTTGTTCAACTAAATAGCATTTACATAGTTATAATAATGTACAAGATTTGTTATTGATTAAATAAAGTTTATTATGAAAGGATAAGAAAAGGAGAAATTACGTATAGAACTATCAAGGGAAGAGATAAGTTCTCTTATGGTATATGGAGAAATTAATTGACAATACCTACAGAAAGACAGTACGTTGTCCTCTGACCTCTACACATAAACACATTCATACCACATGCATATACAGACACACGTGTGCAAACACATGGATACAAAATACCAGTTCATATTTTTGACTCCATATGCACAAATAATTTTTTATAAAAATTAATGTAGAAATTTTTGTGTTAGCATTGGCAAGGTGTCATATGAAAATATTAGTTATACATATACACTTGCAACTCTTGCTGCTATTTTATTAAATTATAAGAGAAAACATGTGATCATGCTGTATTGAGCAATGACTACGGTGGTTTAGTCATTCCCAAATAAAATTTGCACGTACACAATGTTTGGGAGTATTATAAATCAAATCCAGTTCCAATCCTTATTTGAAACACATTTGAAATCTTAAAGCCTACTTAGTAAATCAGACTTGCACATGTTATACAGGGAAAATTAATAAAGCTAGCTGTAGTGAGATATTGACTTTGTCTGCTTGTGGCACTGACCATGCCCATTGGGGTTAGAGCCAGGGGCGGATGTGACCTGTGGAACTAGGTCTGAGGAGGAGCTAGGGAACGCTCTCTTGCTGCCAGACAGGGAGAGGAGAGCATCCAATGGAACTTGCTGGTATTCATCTGTCTAGGTTGTAAGTTATTTCTCCCTGAATAAACACCTATTTGGCCTATTTGTTTATCCTGATCCTTATTAAACTGCGATAGCTAGCCCAGTTCTGGCCCCTTTTGTAATAATTTTAAATTATGTTAAATTAAAAAAAAAGTCGGGCAGTGGTGGCACACACCTTTAATCTCTATACTCAGGACAGGCTCCAAAGCTGCAGAGAAACCTCATCTTGAAGATCAACCAAAATATTATGTTAAATTTTAAATTAATTTAATTATGTTTATCTAATTAGTTTTAAGTTAAATTAAATTTTGATTAAATTCAGAGATAATATGTTTATCTCTGAAAAGAAATCAAAAGTTTCTGTTGCATCCTACACTTACAAGATATTTCTGGGTTGATGATGTATGCCTGTAACCCTGGCTTATGGAAGTTGGAGGTCAGAGAAGCAAAAGTTCAAGCCAGTTTTATTTACATTAAGAGTTTGATGTCAGCCTGGACTACATGAAATCCTATCTCAGTGAAACAAAAGAACAAGTAATTAAGCACCCTTTGGCTACTGGCTTTTATGAAATCACAGAGGACCAGAGAAGGAATATTTCCTGCTTTTTAGTTTTATGCTCAAGATGAATGTGAATTAATAGAATCCCATTTTCTTTATTGCTTCCAATTTATTTTTAGTGGTGGGCATGTTAAGCTTGAAGAAGATGTTGATCTTGGCTACGTGGAAGATGGGACGCCCTGCGGCCCTCAGATGATGTGTTTGGAACATAGATGTCTTTCTGTGGCTTCCTTCAACTTCAGCACTTGCTTGAGCAGTAAAGCAGGCACTGTTTGTTCAGGAAATGGAGTAAGTACCAAAACCTCACCTTGGAAAACCATCCATTTCTTCAGTGTTTCAGAAGTATATATAATCCTGTAATATCTGCTTAATTATGGACAATATGACTATCTGTGTTTCTGGTTGGCATGAGAACACTAACTTGATCAAAGATACTTGAATATTTTTGTGTATAATTGAGAAAGTCTGAGAATAAGAAAACTGGTAATTTTCCTAATCAAATTCTTCAGCCTTCCTTTCTTATGCTAAGAGTAATGACACACAGTGTGATGACAAGTTTTCTGCAAGTGATTTAGGAGATGGATTTTAGCAAACTACAACGGAATTTTTAAATGATTTTTAAATTATTATTGTGAATTTCTTTCTTTCTTTCTTTGTTTTGTTTTTACATCTTGACTGCACTGTCTCCTCCTCCCTCTGTCCCTCCCACAAGCTGCTCTGTCCTCCCATCTTTTCCTCCTCCATTTCTATTCAGAAAAGGTCTGAACTCCCATGGATATCAACAAAACATGGCTTAGCAAGTTGCAGTAAGACTAAGCCACCTCCCCACCTCCAGTCACATTAAGGTTGGGAAAGGTGACCCAGTATGAGGGATAGGGTTCCAAAAGCTGGCAAAAGAGTCAAAGACAGCCACTACTCCACTGTTAGAAGTCCCACAAGGAGACCAAGCTACCCAACTGTATTATGGGGAGTGAGGAAAGAGAAGTGAGCCACTTATTTAACTACTTAGGTCATCTGGATAAAGCCACATCAGCATTGGCCATAATTAACAGTTGTAGCCACACCTGGAAATGACTGTCTTCAGGGGAAGTGCTGCTCATGGATGAACAGAAAGAGTGGTACTTTTGACATTTTAATTCTGTTCTTTCAGACCTATGTATTGAATAGCATAGGTGCTTGTTTGTTTGTTTTTTAAATTAAACACCAAACACAGGTCCTCCACGAATATATCCAGTTTTCTCATTTTCATTAGGAATTCCTTACTTGAAGTTGGTTTGGTTTTTTTTCTGTTAGCATGTGCTGTGATTTTCTTTTTGCTGGTGTTACAGAATCTTGGAATTGCTTGCATTATCCAGTTGAGGCAAAGGACCTTGCTTTGTAATTTGAAATTTCAGTCCTGATCAATCCATATGATGGATATCAAATATCCTTGAGAACCATGCTTGGGCAGCCAGGCAAAGGTCTCTTCACTTTAGAACCAACCAGATTTCCTGTTTGCCAAAGAACAGGAAATCTCAAAAGAAAGAGAACAATGCAGTTGTATAACTCCTCCTGTAATGTAAGAGGGGTTGTTTTTTTCTCCTTCTTGTAATCACTAGGAGGATTTCGGGAAACAGTTCCTGTGGGGCCAAAGAAATGAGAAATGAAATCAGTTTTTTAGCACCCTCCTAGTGATTTTTAAATACATGCTAGTTTTATCTAGTAATGGTTAGTTTAACGGATTAGTAAGGGTCAGATTAGTAAGGGTAAGATTATATAAAGCATAGAAATAATTTATAATAATTGTGCGTTATGCAGAGGTATTATCCTATGTAATCAAAAATGTTTTGCTATATGTGTCTATGGGGTGTGTGTATGTATACAAATACATACCATGAGATATGTGCTGGTCAGATACTATCTTGGAGGGGTCAGTTCTCTCCTTTCCGGTACATGGATTCCTGGCATTGACTAAGGTTATGAGGCTTACATAGCAAGTGTTATAACCACAGTCACATTGCCAGTCCCCGACATGTTTTTCAGTTGTGGTAACTCAAACGTATATATGGCAAAAAAGGAAAATCGGGATGGAGGTATTCATTATGGATAACACCAAAGCCTGTGTGTAGTAATTATGAGTCGGGGTTTGTTCCTCTGTAACAGAACTGACATTTCTGCTGTCTCACCTTTGGATTTTAGGTTTGCAGTAATGAGCTCAAATGTGTATGCAACAGGCACTGGACAGGTGCTGATTGCAGCATACACTTTCCTCACAATGACGATGCAAAGACTGGCATCACCCTGTCTGGCAACGGTAGGTATCTAACGTGGTATTGTGTCATATTTATATATAACAGAAACAGAAGTGTTTGTAAGGACATTTATATTTGAGAGTTTTATCATAACTCCAAAATAAATGGTATCTACATAATGAGGGGGAGTCTACCTTGTGAAACCAGTCATTTTCATTAAATTGTAAAGATTTGTCAACCCGAGTATAATTTAGCCTACTGACTTCACCTTTTTCTGTCCTAGTTCAGAGATTTTTTTCAAGTATTATAATTACCCAAGGCCATGAACAAAGCTTAGCATCTTTTCCTTAATTTATTCTTTGACAATTCCATGCATGTATGCAGTACATTCTGTCACACTCATCCCTCCCACGCTCCCTCACCCTCCCCTCACTCCCTGCACCCCCTCCTTGTTCCCACCAAGTTCTCACCCAACTTTCATGCCTTTTCTAACATTTCTTTGAAATTAAGAACTTTAAATGGTGTCTCAGTGGTTAAGACCCAGGTTTAGTTCCCAGGACCTACACAATGGATTACCATTATCCATTGAGTCCAGTTCCAGAAGATCTGACACTCTCATAGGGCCTCAGGCATGCCCATACTGTACATACTTACAGGCAAGACACTCATATACATAACATAAAAAATAATCAATTTAAATGGATAATTACATACTTTTGAGCTGAGTGAGAAGAATGAGTTGATTTTTAAGTTTTTGCTATAGAATCTCATTTCTATGGTCTAAACTTTGAGGCGCATAGAAGCACTGTAATTGGCCAAGGTGATAAGAATAGAGACATGACAGGAGGGAGAGGCAGTTCTGATAACATGAGTGGCTCAAGAATAGAAGAGGAAGCTAAGTGTGGGCAGTTAGAGTTCACCCTTTGGAGATAAAGATTTCCTGTACACAATTAAGTCATTTCATTCTTGTGTCTCCTTTTGTGTGGAATAATACTCAATTCCCAATGTGTATTCACCTCCCAAGGCTAAGAACAAACAAATGCACTCATCGAAATCCTCTACACAGGCTTAAATCTTAGTAACATGATTCTAATAAAGCCCCAGAATAATTAAAAATTTGATGTCATCAAGTAGCAATGGTAAATGGTGATATGGCACTTGCTCCCATAAATATGAGAGTGTTTATAGTACCTGGATCTCTAGTTGTTCAGAAGACATTACTTAGAAGTAGCCATACAAGTTTACTGATTCCTGTTTAAATCCCTGGAAGAACAGGCAGGCTGGGCAGACCTGCTAAATCTTGGTGTACAAATCAGATGATATTGTTAGTGCAATGTTCGCTCATGTCACTGATTTTCCTCCTTGTTTTCCCTTCTAGGTGTTGCCGGCACTAATATCATAATAGGAATAATTGCTGGCACCATTTTAGTGCTGGCCCTCATATTAGGAATAACTGCCTGGGGTTATAAGTAAGTCAAATTTTTCAGTATTATTACTATAAAAATTTACTTTAAAATATTTTAATTAAGGGTTAGAGAGGTGGCTTGGTGGTTAAAATGCCAATGGCTCTTGTAGAGGACTCAGTTTTGATTCCTAGTACCAGTCTTGGGTGGCTCATACACTCACGTGCCTCTAATTCCATTGGTCTGACACTATCTTCTAGTCTCTTTGGGTACCTGCACTCACATTTGCATACAGACACACACACACATGCGCGATGCGCATTGTACATGTGTGTGCGCACACACACACACACAATGAAGCATTAACTGGAAACATTTATATCTTTACTTTTGTATTTGTAATGAAAGTCAGTCTGGTCCAATAATCAGAGATTACCCACCCTTGGTATGGTTAGAAGTAATGATAATTTATCACATTTTAGATTTTGAAACAACTCTTTTCCTATTCTAAAAATATTGAATGTTGTTTTAAGATCTGTCTTAATTGTGAGTGAATGGATACTACATCCATACATCACGTTAATTGCAAAGTCCCTTTGTCCTAATAGCCATTACTATATACCAGTTTCTTCCTGTAAAGAACAGAAGAACAGACTCTTGTGAGATTCAGGGCTTTTAATTCAGTTTCATCTGCAATATCCAGATGCCTAATTCTTCTTGAGCTTCCAAACTTATCATATAATTTCTTGTTTTAATTTTTAAAAATTGAGTCATCTGCTTTTGAATATTTAATAGCCTCAGACATCTGCCAAGTACATGTTTGAAAACATATATTCAATACTTTAAATTTCCCTTTTGAAGACTTAAAATGTTTTCTTTGGTATTCTAGTAACTATTTAATGTTATGGCTTAAATGTAGTATAAACCTTTCATTCTTGAGCTGGGTCTTCATTGCTAGTGCAAATACCTGAGGACCTAAGAAAGATTTGTGTGGCTTATATTTAAGAAGTTCCCCCTAAAACATGACCCTTTGGGCAAAAGAGCACGGTGGCAAACGTGGTAGGGGGAAACCTGCTCACCAAAGAAAGGGCTCACCACATTAAGCCCTCTGCTTCCTAAACTGAGCTATGAATCTGAAATGGATCAGTTCATTGATGAGGTCAGAATTCTCATAATCTGATTACCTTCTAAAGACCCCAGTTTTAAGCCTGCTGCATGGGGAGCACACAGTTAACACACAAGTTTGGGGGACATTCAGATCCAAACTGTAATAGTTCTCTTTAATCTTTCAACCTTCTGTCTCTGGCAATGTCCTCTTCAGTGCCCCAGCCTAGGGTTTTCCATTCGGGAGACCTACACTCTAGATGTTAACCTCATTTCACAGTGTAATCCCTCATGTAGATCAAATGTAGATCATGAAATCGGGAATTAAAATAGTTTAGATTTGGGGATAGATATAGAGATGGCTCAGAAGTTAAGAATGCATGCTGCTCTTTAAGAGTTCAGTCCCCAACACAAACATCAGATGACTCAAAACCACTTGTATCTCCAGCTTTAGGGGATCTGACAACCTCTTCTGGCCTCTGCAGATTCCTGTACTCACATGTACATACTCAAAACACACACACACACACACACACACACACACACACACACACACGTGCATGCACGCACGCACATGTACACACACACACAAATACACATAATTAAAGATAAATAATTTTAAAAGAGATTTTAAATTTCAAATTTACCCTGTACCTTTTAAAAATTCATCTTTGTTCTGTGGGTTATTGTATGACAAACATACCAAGTAGTGACTGACTCACAGTGAGCAGTATGATTACCATCTACTGTGGTTTGAAATCAAATCGGAGGAGACAGCTTTAAAAGTGTATGTATCAATTGTTTGTAAAATTAAAGCCCTGCAAGCATTTTACGAAAAGGGAGAGCAATTATTTTACTGTTTGTATGCTGCTATCATTATAATTCAGGAAGCCACTTCTGGATGGCTGTATTAACAACAAAACACAGTACAGTGAGGCAGTGTGGCTCAGGTACATGGGACAGCCTAGAGAAGGGTCGCACAACATCAGACCAGGCTTTGCCCAGATTAGCTAGCACTCAAATCAGATGTAGCAGCTGCTCAATTGTGATTTAGGCACTTGTAAGATTGTGTGTATGTCAGGAAGGCCTTTCTTCATGCCACAAGCAAATGAGCTCTGTCTTGGAGTCATTGTTTTCTCAGCTTCTCTAATGAGGACACAGAAGCTCATCCTATCCCAAGCATTGCTGTTTCGTTAGCATGAAAGTTGTTCTAGAGTGTGTGAATTTCTACCACTTACTGATACAGGTGGATATTTAATTTTTATAAACCTGGGAAGAGTTACTGTTCGCAAAACGTGAAACCAAAACCTTTGTTCTGTAGAACTTACCAGAGTTACCTCTTTTCTTTTCTTTCTTTTTTTTTTGTTTGTTTGTTTGTTTTGTTTTTTGAGACAGGGTTTCTCTGTATTGCTTTGGAGACTGTCCTGGAACTAGCTAGCTCTTGTAGACCAGAGATCCACCTGCCTCTGCCTCCTGAGTGCTGGGATTAAAGGTGTGTGCCACCACCACCTGGCTACCTATTTTCTTTAGGGAGGTTTACATTTTGTCTTTTAGCATTTCAAAATTTATACACTTTGCAGATTGATTAAGAAAAAAGACAGATCTTGTTCATATTGTGGTATCCTTCTTAGACATAAACCTAAGATCCAAGTTTTAGAATTTTTAAAATTATTCAGGATGTGTTTATTATTATTATTATTTGTTTTTTTTTTTAAGACAGGGTCTTACTCTGTAGCCCTGGCTGGCTTTAAACTCACTATGTAGGTCAGACTGACCTTGAACTCACAAAGATCTCCCTCCTTTCTTCTAAATGTTGGGATTGAAGGCATGTACCCCAAACCTAGCTCAGGATGTTTAGAAATAGAGTGAGAATATAAAAATTTTAATTGAGGAATTAAACTATGAAAACAGTTTTTTTTTTTTTTGTATATTGTTTAAAGTTGAAAACAGACTGTGGACCTGGGAAGCCATTTTCATGTTAATTTTTCTAATGTAACATCCTTTCTCCAAGCCTTGGGGTGCAGGATAGCAAACAGAAAATACCCACTTGGAGGTATATGGCTGAGGTCCCAGAATGACATGAAAAAGTAAAATATACTTCATAGAAAGATGCCAGGCTTATGTCCCTCATATATGATAGTTAATGCAGTGGATCGGGATATTAAATTGTCACTTTCACTCTATGTGCCTGCTGTTAACCTTATAGTTAATGGAATGGACTGGTAGGTGAAGGTGTCATGTAGAGCGTTATGTCAAGGATGGAACTCTAGATGACTTAGCCACTTGCCTTTCTAATATGCCTTCAAAATATTAATATTCAATTACATCAAAATAGAAAGTTGGCGACTTTTGAAAAACTTACTGCTAGTACATTACCACATGCTTCGAAACAAAATTAGTTTATTAGAGAAGTCATATAAATTTATTTTAGCTCACAGTCAAATGAGCAAATACATCCAGTGTGAAGCTTGAGAAAGAAGTTATTAATACCTGTAAAAGACCACCTTTATTTTAATGCATTTTTTATTGACCATACATGATGAATAAAGTGCTGTAGCATGGTTGTATTTTCTCCTACTTGGACTTCTTAGAAGGAGCTATAGTTGGATGTTTGTATTTCAGTGGGAATAAATTAAGACTTATTCCTATGAAAATGTAGTTAATTTATGTAAATAATCTGATTAATTTTCATTGAAGTCAACATTCATTCATTTAAATCTACCTTTCATCTCTCTATATATATTTGTAAACTATATATGCATATATCTACCTGTCATTTATGCATATACCTATTATCCACCTATCTATCCATCCATTTACCCACCCACACACCCACCCACCCACCCATCCATCCATCCATCCACCTACCTACCTATCTACCTATGCATCTATATCTATATTTAAACCTATATTTAAAGTAGAACTGACAATGCTGGAGAGATAGATCTTCCAGAGGTCCCATTTTCAATTCTTAGTTCCAGGGGAACTGACACCCTCTTCTGGCTTCCGCAGGCTTGCATGCATGCAGTGCACAGACATACATACAGGCAAAATACAAAAGCACATAAAGAAAAATAGATCAATATAATTTCAAAAATAGTAGGGTTGACTCTAGATAATTATTGAATATTTGGTACAATTAAACTGATATTGAGAAAACAGTTACTCTTTAATGATTACAAACTAACTTACGCTTTTAAACATGGGTTTAGTGGTTAAGACACTTGATACCCTTGCAGAAGACCCAGGTTTGATTTCAAGCACAGTGGGCCACAACCATCTGTACCTCCATTTCTGGGGGATTAAGTACTATCTTCTGTCCCCAGGAGCACCAGGCACACATAGAGTATAGACACATACATGCAAGCAAAACACAAATATACGTAAAAATAAGTAAATCTTTAAAATAAATAAATAAATAATAAATTAAAATGGGCAGTTGTTTGACAATATTGTCACTAACCCTTCGTGTCATCTCTCCTTATGATAAGGTGAAGTTTTGTTTATGGGTCTCATTTTAATTTTACAATTCAAATTCATGTCGGGAAGGAGGTTGCCTGAATGCTGGGGTTTGTTTTAATGCTATGTTCATGTGCTTCTCTAAATAACTAATGTTTTTTTGTTTTGTTTTGTTTTCCCCCTTCTGTCTATGAAAGAAACTATCGAGAACAGAGGTATGTGATGACAGTGATCTGAGTAGATGACTGGAAAGTTTAACCCTTTGTATCACTGTTGGAATTCATACATGCAGTTTCAAGTGGGATCTTGTCTTTTATATATAATGATCTTGATCTTTTATGGTTTTGAAATAATATTAAATTTATTTTTAATATCATTGTGTATATAGAAGTAATTTTTCATCAAAAACAGACTTCCTTTATGTTAAGTTGTCATGTTTGTTTACATTGGTTTATTGGCTTTCCTTCATGCTTATGATGGTCTTATTACCTAATTGTCTAAGGGAAGATATTTTTGTTATTGTTGTTGTAGTAATAACTTTCATAAGTTACAAGATTTATCATTTGTTCCTATTAAGGGATGTTCTGCAATGTTCTTTATGTAAGGAAATATTTTTGTATGATTTGGTAACCATAAATGTAGCTAAAGAGGGAATTTTCATAGTTAGCATTTCTGAGCTGTTGTGCTTCCTGTGCTAGTATTACATAAAATCCATAGAGAAAGTCAAACACCTACTTAACATAACCTTAAGATCTCTATTTAGCAAGCTGTAAAAGAGGCACAGTGTTCATTTTTTTTTTAAAGTAGGAACTGCCAGTTTTGTCCAAATTGACATACTACTTATTGAGATAGACATTTCACTTTTTAAAAATTATTAATCTTACTTGCTGCTGCTACCTAAAACCAAAATGTTATCTTGAAAACTGATCAAACCAGCCCAGGTATTACACATATACTATTCACTTCTGCGTTCAGAGTATTTGCACAGATTCCTGCTTAAATTTCCTCCTGTCCTATTGGGTGCCTGTGGCAGTTTAGGGATAGATATGATAATTATAGTGAGACCTTTTCAAACACTGGCCACATGATTCATTGTTTTTCAGAAATCAAAATTTTAATCATTACTCTTCTATTTCCTTTATTTTATAATTTAAAATCTATAAGGCTTTAACTGTAACTATCTATAGAATCTTTGTGACTACAGTATACCTGAAGGTATCAATTGAGATCCTGATCATACTTACATTGAAACAATAATCTATAATAATCCTAAATTTAGATATTAGAAGTATTTCCCTTAGGGTAACAAATCCATTACTAGAAAGGGTGAAATTTAAATACAGCTGGATTTTTTTGTGACATGTCTTGAACTCATGAGTATAGAAGTATGTGAAGAAAGCAGGACCTGTTTAGGTTTCCTGTGGGTAAAAGTTTCCTAGTCATATCAGAAATCTAAGATTTGTGGATTTCTTCAGCAGAAAATAGAATTAAGTTGATGAGATTAAAATTCGGTGACTTCAGAACCATTTCTATTGGAACTAAGTAAAACTATGACAATACTGCTGAATATACAAAAGGAAAGAACAAGCCGCAATTACATAACACAAGCAAGGCTAAATTAATGCTCTAAGCTACTCCAGAACACGGAAACTGCCTACCATACAAAAATGATTGATATTGGAAAACACATATCAATTTATTATTCTGATTAAACGCATGCATAGTTTAAGAAACGTTTTCACACAATCACTATCTGTTCTGTCTGATATAATTTAACATCTCCTGGTGCTACAGCTATTGTTGCATGGATATGATGACTCTTCTGAAACCCAGATCATGTCTATGGAGTCATTCCATCTCCAGAGGAATTTGTTCTAGATATTTTGTTGTATCTAAACAAAACTTTACCCCCTTGTCCATGGCTGGTGAATATTAGTTCTGTGTAACAGTTCTCAAAGTAGAGAGCAACAGAGGATGGGTGCTAGACTAAGAAGTTGTGCATAGAAGTGTCTTTGGGGTTCCTTTAGGTGACATGCATTAATGAGTAGAGGGGAAGTGGGTAGGCCAACAAACACGGCATGCATCAGTACATTTTCAATCCTATAAAATTATTTTCAGATATTCAAATAAAGGCCCATCTGGTTTCAAAGATGCTAGGAACTAAAGCCAAGGATTTTGGTGTTATCTTTACCTTTAAATTAGGATTATCTTTGCAGTCTTCTGGCGGGAAGCCCTAATAGCAAGAAATTAGTAGTTAATATTGTGTGATGTAGGAAAATTGCCAACGTCTCTCAGCAGTGAAGCATGAGTTCTCTGTATCTTTAAAGTGATGTGGTCAAGAGAGAGGATTGCAGTTGAGGCCCACATGCTCCTTTTGGCTGATAAACATGTGCTTTTGCTTTGACACTTAGTGCTTCAAGCAATATTAAATATATGGGCATTAAATGGCCTGGAAATGACAAATTGGGCCTAATGTTCAGACTTTTGGAGAAGATAGGCATGTAATTCTATAAATGAACCAGATAAAAAAACTTTCTACTGAACAACAGCAATAAAATAGAAGCCCCATTCTAAAACTTAGTTGGCGTATACCCACACATATATTAGTATATCACTTTGCACCCTCTAGTGGCATTCTGGGAAGGCTAGGAACAATGGAATCACAGGGCCACAGTGAAACTTTATATACTCAGTCATTGCCTTTTCCTTAAAAGCCTTCATGAAAGAAGACCTCCATCCATTTCCCCAGCGAACTTAATTGTTTCTTGAGGAATAATCGCACAGAGCATGGTAGCTGTATGGAACTGTAAATTCTAGTTTTCAGTCAGATTTGCACATACAGACAGGATAAATAATATTTGATGGACTTAAATTTATAAACCATCCATGTTTGATTGAAATCTTTTCTCTGACTGAAATAAACACATGTCACTAAGTTGGTCAATGAGGAGGGTGATCATTAGACCCCGTCCTTCTGCTCTGGGGTTTGACTTGAAGCAGAATTTCTCCCTCCGCTCCTTTCTTTATCTCTCATCTGTTTTATCCATTACTTTCTTTTGTGGACTCCCAACTTTTTTTTCCCAAAGCCTTTTTAGCTTTTTTTTTTTTTTTGTGGCATTCTTCATATCTCAGGGATATTCATGCATCTGTCAACATGAGTTGGTATAACTCATACAATATTTCTCAAAACAAGAGAGTAACAATTCCTATAAGGGACAGCCCAGGCACTAACCAGGGTTAGAGAAATGTCTCCTCCACATCTAGGTTATAACCTGGACACCTGTCCTGACTCTGTTTTCTGATTTTTGAGTATGCATATGGATTGATGAGGCAAATATCACTGCTCAATAGATACTTTTAAAGAAGGTCAAATTTCTTTCATAATCAGACAGACCAACTATTTGTAGGGTTAGTGCAAATTTTAAAAAATGAAAGAAAGAAAAGAAAAACATTTCTTGATGTTTAAATTTATAGGGGGTCAATACTAGCTGGTTTATAATTATGAACACATTGTTATTTAATGTAGAATAAAAATAGTCAATAATCTTGTAAATTGTAGATGTGGGAGAATAATAATTAACATTTTCATAGTCTGCCCCAAATCATTAACTAATAGGTGTTGATCCTTGTATTAGCAAATAGAAATTCCTTAAATAATTTTATTTAATAAGGTACATCAGCTCAACCAAGAGGTATATAGAGGAAAAAAATGACACCTTGAAACTAATATAGGAAAGGTTGATTAGTGAGGAAATAAAATTCAGTCACAAAGCATTTTTCTTTTGTTAACTATACAAATATATGTGTATATGAAATATTTTTATAGGGTGTAGTAAAAGTACAGAAAATTTCCCATTTGAAAACCCACCATTTTGTCAGTCCAAATAACTACTTTCAGGACCCAAATTGGGAGAAACATTAAAAACACTAAAATTTTGAGACAAAAGCCATTAAAACAGTAAACAATTGGAAAAAGAAGTTCAATCAAATTTTTAAGGAGCTCATTTAGTTGGCTTTCTATGATTTTTCATAGCAAGTGATGGAGTGTTATTTTATTGATCACAGGAACCTGGGATTCTTTCTCCTCACTAAAGCAGAAAGTAGTAGTCTGCTGAAAGGATCAATTTTGAGACATTGAGGGATGTTCAGTAAGAACACTGTAAGGAAACTGGTAACTTATTGCTGGCATTTGCCATGTAAGGAGAGCTTGTTTCATTCCTTGTAGGATTTTTGAGGAGACTGCTAAGAGGCCGTATCTATGTTCCGGAGACTGAGATTAAGAATACAATGTGGTCCAGATGATAATATGAGAAGTACCTAGGACTCTACTAAACTGAAGCTTTTTTAACTCCAAGACTGATTCCTTTATTTTTGGTGGAACCTCTATCAGTCAAGGGTAGAGCTAGTTTTAGAAACTAGTTTAGTGAGAAATTTTTCCTTTAATTAGTATGTGGAGATCTAGATAAAGTCACACAAAGTAAAATTAAAATGCATGCTTTATTTTATCTAAATAGTTTATGAGAGGATGTTCAGTCAGAGACAACTAAGCTTTTAAACAATTTCAACAGTACAGGAATCAAAATAATGAAGGGAAGATCTGAAAAGGGTTTCTGAGGGTTAAACAGTATCTGCAAACAATCGAGGTAATTAACAAAAACTGAATTGAAAGGGATGCAGGGCATGTAAGCTTGCTGGAGACTTATTGACATATACCTGTTTGAAATTCTTAGTCCATCCCTAGCTTTTGACTCTTCCACGATAGCATGAGTGAAACTGGTCATGATTTGGATGCATTTGGCTGTTCGAAGCCACACATTAGATGACTGCTTTGGCTGTGGGCAGAGTATTTTGGGAATAATGTGTGCGTTTTTCAGTTCCCTTAGGAGAAGTAGCGAGACTGTTGCTCTTTTAGCTCATTTAGAATGAGACAAGTGTCTTCAGTCCTGCACGGGTTAAGCAGATGCTCCTGTCTTGCCTTTCCCTCCTGCTATGGTGGAGATAGGAAGTATCACCACCATCTGTCACAGATAATTTTCCATAGTTTACCAAGAAGCTCGGCTGCTTTTCAACTCTTTCTTCCTCTTGCTAAGTTACATTCCTTTACACATTCTACTGTGTGCTATAAAATTATTGTTTTGATTCAAATTTGAATCTTTTAAATTGCCTTTAGTTAATGATGCTGCAAAGTGAACTCAAAATTCTAATAAGGTTTTATTTGGATTCATTGTGGAATGACTGAAAGCAATCAAATCTTTTAAAACTAAGTCAAGGGTATATTTGTCATATATTTCCAATAATGAATAATTTAGTTACCACATTTGAAAAAAGCCTGCTTTATTTGAGCAAGGATTGTCTAAACACATCTTCAACATCAATTTTTAAGAGAAAGAATAGTTATTGTGTTTAACATCTCCAGGTAGGGTGATGTTGCATTGAAAATAACTCATCTTTCCATATTTCTCCTGAAAACAAGGCTTTATTCATCCAGCCTACCAAGAATCCATGATTACATTTCTGTCCTCTGCAGCTAGAATGAGTTGAACTTGTCGCATGTATTAATAATCTCATATGTTATAGATTTGATCATGTAGACCATTATCCCTATCTCTCTTTTTCCTGAAATAATATTTGTATATGTCTGTGTTCATGTGTGTGTCTTGTTTTCTGACTCTGAAATGTTTATTATGCCTTAGACAGTTACCGCAGGGAGATTATGTAAAAAAGCCTGGAGATGGCGACTCTTTTTATAGCGACATTCCTCCCGGAGTCAGCACAAACTCAGCATCTAGTTCTAAGAAGAGGTCTGCTTTTCTGTCGCATTTTCAGATTTCCACCTGCTCCATCACACATTATTCCATTAGTCAGAACATTTCATTATTTTGCAGCAGGTTTGGTTACTTCTTCCTTCTTTCTTGAATGTTAAAATAGTATCCCTTGTTCTTTGATTACTCCACCTCAAAATGCCATATGCTCAGAACCACTTTGTGTAAAAGTCAGACTGTGAAGTTGAAACAAGAACGCGAGAATGCTAAATCTGCGTAGAAACCCCAGGGTTTTCCCTGTCACGTTACGCATGGCTTAAGAAACAAAACATAGTTTTTGAAAATGTTTTACATGGTGAGCTTTATGTCATGCTTGGTAGTCAAAGAAAAAGGGTACTGTCATGCTTAAATAAAGGCAATTAAGATAAACTGGTAATATAAGTGCTGCATTGAACAGCTTTTAATTTTGTGTATTTCAAAGCTAAGCTTGCTGTGAAAAAAGATTGCATCTCTGTGAATCCTATATTTTAATATGATGTTTCTCTGGAATGGTTATTTGTAGACTTTATAACTTTCATCTTAGTTGAAAAATTAAGTATAGGTAGGATTACTTTATTATTTATGTCTTAAACTCTACTAATATATTCTTGTTCTAGCATCTTAAGATGTATGACACCTTTTAAAAGTCAGTTTGCTTTATAATCAGTTGACAATAAATGACTAGAAGAACTAAATAGGATGTTTCACAGGATGGGGCCTACCTTCACATTAAAGGGAACTAGAATATCCTCATTAAAAAAAAAAAAACTTTAAAGTTTCCATTGAGGTGTAAAGGATGAACAAATTTTCAGTTGGTTCACTCATAGCATTGGGCATTCTTGTTACTTGTAGACTGAAGGAGCTAATTTATTTTGAGAAAACATGTTCTCTTCTGGTATTCCAGGTAGAGTGTGTGATCTGTCTGTAAAGCAATCTGCACTGATATCCAGTCCTTATAGGCACTGAATGTGAATCAGAATAGTTAGTCACTGGGAAATGTCAAGCACATTTCCTTAGATAACCGAACTCAAAGCAAAAGTTGTACTGGTTTTGATCCTGGGAATGCATGCTATGGCATATACTTCATAGAGTATTTTATTCTTTATAGAGTATACAATTATTCTTCTCATTTGCTGTTGATGCTGGGAGTACATGCTATAGCATGCACTTTATAAGCATAAAATTACTCTTCTCATTTATTATTGAGGAAATGATGGCTAAGAGAAGATGCCTGAGGACCTACCAGCATTCTCCGATATGAATATTTGCTTGGACAAATACAGAATTTTAAATTAAATTACAATAAAAAAAGTGGAGAAATTGGTGGTTTTCAGGAGTGTTCATTGGCCTTTCATATAAAATACGAATGGCTCTGTCATTAGAGAATGATGTTGAAAAACTTTCAACATAGAAAAGGAATGTGCATGAACTGTGTCAAGTTCTGTTTCCTCTTAGTCAGAAGATTCCTTCTCAAATTGATATTATTCATAATTAAACAGAGTGATTCAGAGGAGAGTGACTTGGAGATAGTGTTGTTTCTACAGTTGTTAATAAGAATCTTTGAAATGCACAGGGTCAATTCCAAGATCTTGGAAAGCAGTACAATAGGCTCTGATCAGTCAAAAGCATATCAAATTATTAGGATCCAGACTAGATTTGTCCCATTCTTTTCATTATGAAATTTCATAAAAAAAATTCATTTTATGGTGTAAGGTAGGTGTATTAATCTTGATCCTTAGAGCAAATTCATTTAGCAGTTGTGGGATATAGTAGTAAAAGGGCTCAATGGTACATGGGCTTTGTGAGAGCTATCTCCATGCTAAAGATATGATTCAGTTCAGTCATTGGATAGTTGACTGACATGCATTATATTCATTGGGGCCATGTTTGTGTAGAAAAATGCCAACTCTCAGAGATAATAATTTTATCAATTTAAACATGTGTATCCCATAAAGTTAACCAGGTTCAGTTGGGCAAATTTTATATAATCTCTTAAAAGTCCATGTTCTCATAATATTGAATGGAAATCATTGCTTTACAATTAAGAAACATCTATGGTGGGACCCCATTATAGCCCTGTTGCTGGGGTTATGTGACTGTAATACTTGCTGAATTTGCTCTGTGGTTGCTGTGTTCTGGAGAATGTAAATTGGCTTGCATTATATCCTGCTACTTTTCCATTTATGACTATTGTAATGGGGTTCCATTGTATTTGGCTTTTCTTAAATTGAACGTTGTGTAATTCTGCCTTCTTCATGAAGACTTTCATGTTTTCTTCATTCTTTCATTTCAGATTTTTTTATTGATTTGTTTTATTTAATGTGCAGTAATGCTTACACATTTTTGCTTAGTGATTCCAAAACATCCGATTATATTTTTGGACAATATGCAAATACTTCTACTTTCAGGTCAAATGGACTCTCTCATTCCTGGAGTGAAAGGATTCCAGACACAAAACATATTTCAGACATCTGTGAAAATGGGAGGCCTCGAAGTAACTCCTGGCAAGGTAGTGAACAGTGTTCAGAATCTAAGATCTGAATTCTGGGTCTTTGTAAAGATGTATTCTTTCCCATAAGCTATTCAGCTCTTCTCCCAACCAACAAGTTTAGAATGAGAGACCAGCTGCTTGTTTTTGTTGTTCTTTGAATTTTCCTTGATGGGTAATGGGGACATTAGCAGCTAAATAGGGAGGAAACATTGGAAGGTCATGCAATGGCACAGAGGCCCACATTTGGAGGAGGCAAGGCTGGTTATAAATTACACCCATTGCAAGTGCCATGTAATTATATATATAAAAAATTATTTATCTATATGAAAATTCAGCTGTAAATGTTCTTTTCCAGGTAACCTTGGCGGCAACAAAAAGAAAATCAGAGGCAAAAGATTTAGACCTCGATCTAATTCAACTGAGTAAGTTGTATATTTAATGGGAAAGGCAGTTGAAGGTCCTTTACTATTAGTGATGACTGTTAATTAAGCAGATAGTCAAAGAACCAACTATCATGCCTCTGGACTTGGTTTTTATTTTTGTTAATTCTCTTTGCCCTATAAGAATTAACCTTGGCTTTTCTCTTTTACATAGGCATCTCCGCAACTGTGCCCATACCAATATTCACTGATAGTGGGGGGCTCACCCTTGCTGCGGGCTTTTTCCTCCAGTCACCTTCCATTCTGGTGTTTTGGTTTCTTTTGAAGGGAATTGTGATAGCTTCCTTTTCTTCTCATCACTGGGGGTCCAGCCATTTCAAAGGGTCACCCTTCCTCTCCCCTGGAAGCGCTGGGGATAACCCTCACTGTATTAGAGCCAGCCAGTACTGGGTCTGAAGCCACCCTCTGAGGTCCTCATGGCTGCTATCTAAGCATTCTCTCAGACTAAAGGAAAGAGCTTGCCTTTGAAGTTTCCCTCCTGGGGATGTTTAAAAGGCCATTGACCTAAACTTGCTCTTTGTCTGAATCATTGTCACTAATGCAACCTTGACTGTTTTAAATGATAGCCACATTTTTTAGTGGGGTTGAAAGTTAAATTTAAAGTCGTTTATAATGAAGTAAGCATCACACATTGGTTTTGGTGGTGTTTATTATTTCTTCACTTATGAAAGTGCAAACAGAGCATTGCCTCTACAAGCCCTAATCCCCCTTCATAGGGTAAAGCACACCCTCAGTATCCTTTCCAACTGACCTTGCCCTCTAGAAGTAATTAGAATTACCTTTGCTCTTGCCAAGGTGCCTGAAACTTTCTGCTCATGTCTCACTCTAGGGTAGTTGTTCGCAGGATCTCTGTATTACTTTAAAAAAAAAAAAGTCTGAATAGCAGGTGTTTGTTAACTGCTTGTTAGAAACTTACTGTAGCTTCTCCATCATATACCCTGCCTTTTTCAGTCTAGGAATAATAACATTGCCCTGAAATTTGGACCTTCCACCTGAATGGTATTGTCTTGTAAGTGGCTTATCAACATTTGTTAAAGGATACTTTACCTTAGAGATAATAGCAATTTCAAGTGATACCATTGCATGGTCCAGAATGGCATCATAGACCTCCATCATGAATAACTAATCTACTAGAGTTTATCTTCTGCATTTTCAAAGTGCTTGGGTGCTTTAGGGCTCACTGCAGATAAACTCTTCCTGGAATGTTATTTGGTTTGTTTTGCATGAGGCCACCTGGTAAGAGGGCTCCTCAGCTTATCCTGGTTGCTCATAAGGTTCTGCCTATAATTGTGAAATGTTCTTTGGAACTTCCTTTGTGGACTGTTTGTGTTATAACTATTTCTATGACTCTGACAGCTTCTAAGGAGAAAAACAAGTTCAACAGTATATTAAAGCAATGTGGTCAAGACCCAGAGAACATTTGATATTCACCAAAATTCATATATTTTCTAGGTCAATCATTTATATTAAAATGTGTAAAATTCCACTCATATTACATGATAGAATTATATTATGGGTAGCCTTTAAGAACTCTTGCCTGTGATATAATTAAGTTCTAATATTTAATGTGATAGCATAGTAGGAGTTTCTCAGTAAAGAAGAAAGTTTCCCTCACATTTTTCAGAATTTTCTGAATTTGGCTACATGACTCATGTTAGTTAATTGGAGCCATGTTTGTGAAGCTGATCACCCATGCTCAGAAACTTTCTTGTATGGTAACTGTACACACACACACACACACACACATACACACACACACACACACTTACGTATATACTTCTGAAAAATATGAATTTGTGGTACACAGCATATCAAAAATTATGTTTGCAACTTTTTGTACTTTATACAAATCATACCATTTGTTTATGATATAATACTGCCATTTGTGTGACTATACTAGGAGCAGAATGGCCACAGGAAAGATATCCTTTTTTATTTTTCATAATAAGAACTATTTCAGGGTTCACGATGATGAACTATACCATCCCCTTTAGCACTACATCATCCAAAAGGATGATGAGAAATTTTGGCCTGGACTAAAACATGCACCACCAATGCATGAAAATGAAACAAAACACTACCTGTCCTTGTTGGTTATATTATTTTTCCACTCAAAAGAGTTTGCATCTTCCTTGTTGTTGTTCACACTATAAAAATTTTTTTTGGCTTAGACTTTGTATTATATATTGTGTTTTTACAGGAGGGAGCCCCAAGCTCCTGAGCCTGGGCACTCCCTCGCCCAGACAATCCTTCCCCAAGGCATAAGTCCAGGGGGCTCTGACAGCCCCCAGACAGGGAGTCTGGATCACAGGTCAGTCTCCACTTGCCCTTTCATTCTGGGCTGCCACTTAACTCCCTCAATGTCCCTTCCTTGGCTAAGAGCAGGGTCTTTTGATCTTTGACTGAGCCCCCTATCTGCTCAGTGGTGCTCCTGACTCAGTCAGTGCCCGCTGGTGTGCCTCTGGCTTTCCATCCTGGAGAACACAAAGTGTCTCTCTTGTGCTGTCCAATGCATTTTTTGCATTTTTGTTTTTGTTTTTTTTACTTTTTGCATGTTGCACTAACAAGCCACGCTAAGTCAAGCCATATAGGCAGGTTTATTGTCGTCTGATAAAGGCCAGTCACTCTAGCCACCATGCCAGGTCCCCAGAGCTCTCCAACACAGATCTGAGACTGTGACCATGGTCCATCACGTCCAAGTCAAGCTATGTGTTTGGAACTTTTGTGGGTTATCCATAGTACCCATCCTTTGACTTTCGGAAATTGTCAGTGAAAGGAACAAAGGTCTCCCCCAGGAAATGGCTTCCTGCCTGTGGGACACTGAGTTTGCTGTGTGACAGTGTCTGACCTAACAACGGCTGCATGGGCTTTTCCTATGCTTATTCCGAGGCCGTTCACCTCATCAGCGGCTGCACTTGCTTTTGGACTTTTTCTTTCTGTTCCAAGTCCCAGTGGAAATGTTCATGTAAATTAATTGGCTATCTCTGTGAAAAGTGCAAGTTGGCAATGGTTGTAGCTAAAGGCAAAACTAATGTGAGTTCTTCCCAAATCAGGAGCTGTATCTTAGTAAAAATGGCCTTATAAGCATATAAATCTATTGAACCCTTCTTTCGGGGTAGAATCATAATTTTTATTTTGCAGAATACCTTCTTCTTAATAGCTCAAAATGAGGGAAAGAGCTGTGGAGAAATAATGTGATTTTTAAATATAACTGGAAATATAGTAGTTTTGTTTTAAATATATAAATAACTCAAAGACTAAATATGGAGAAAAGAAACAAATCTTAACTAAAAATTAATATGCTTTATAATTCCACCAGATTTGTTTCCAAATAAATATTAAAGAAACTGGATCTTCATTGACTGCAGTACCACGGAGCTACTTTTTAGAGGTGGAAGCTCAGTTAAACCTCCAAATCCCTCCAATGCTGACATTGTTAAATTAATGTTGTTTTATAAGAGCAGATCCTAAGGGGATGTGTTTTGGCTTGGCTCCACAATACAAATCAAAGAAACTCTGTGGGAAGCAACAACTATACCTCGATTTGCTACCTTTGAGATTTGCACAGTCATCCTGGTGGTGCTGCTAGATCCATCAGGGACATGGTAGCATTATTCTCTGGCAGCTGTTCTTTCGGAAAGCAACTTCTGAGGGCTGTTTCCTAAAGCTATCATGAGCACTTTAGTCTGGAGTGCACAGAGAGGCAGATGGGACTTTGGGGCTTCAATTAAATCACTGAACCTAGCTTCCAGATCGTGGAGGTCTACTTGAACTGTAGTGAATGTGCTTCGGGACTCCAGGATCAGAGTGCAGGACCCTTTCTGTTCCTTACAAAAGCCAGCTAGAGAGCACTCCTTCTTAGACTCTGTCATAGAGAGTAAAACAGTGGTTGTGTAAAAAGCATTTTTAACCCTATAATGAGAACTCCGCTCCTTTAAATTGTCTTGAGGCTATATGTGCCTAAATACCAGATTGGAATTGCAGACACCATGAATATTTTCAAAAAAGCACCAATACTATTTGAAAACCAAGGAGCCAATTGAGAAGTGGCTTGTGGGGGGGCTGCTTTTGAGGTGGATTAATGAGACTTCTGATAAAAAGAGAGTTTCTGGCTGATAGTGGGAAGCCACTCACTGGAAGAGGCTTTCCTAGAAATGTAATACATTATAGAATGCTTTGTGCCTTGTAGCTGAGATTATCTTCATGCCATTGTGTAGACTGCCTCATAGTCACCCAATGTCCATCCTGGTTTATTTGCCATAGTCACTTGCATTTGGAGGGTGAAAAGCATCATGGCTAAGCTTGTGCTGTGTATTTTCAGATTTTTCTATCTTGTTCTGCTTTCTTTGTTCCTTCCATTGCTTTCTGCAGGTATTTAAACCCATGGTTCAAAAGAGACTATAATGTAGCTAAGTGGGTAGAAGATGTGAATAAAAACACTGAAGGACCATACTTTAGGTATTTTATGAATTAATTTTACCTTCCTTTCACACTGTCCCAGCACATACATGAACTGTAGTGTGACTGGCCCTCTCTCTTGTATCTCCCAATACAAGTTCCTGTAAGATGGAAAGGGGCCTTGTTCATTTGCTGCTTTTGATGTATTTCGCTTTCTGAGCGAGTCTAGTTATTTTCTGAATGTTTCAAATGAAGCCATTTGAAAGGGTTGCCATTTAGTGCATGTCCCTACCACTTTTTTTGAGCTTTTTATTAGCTTTCTCTTCATTTTATGCTATGTAGTGTTCTGTGGGCATGGAACATACCTTCCACTAACAAAGATGCACTATTAACCTCAACAATTTAGTTTCCATAATCTAGAAGTTTCATAATATATTTTTCCTGCTTACTGTCTAAGAGTGCATAGTGCATAGAAAAACTGAAAGAAAAACATTCAAAGAGACTAAACCGGAATTTTATTTCAAGCAGAAACAATGATTTGACAGAACTGGAGAACAGCTGAGATATTATTGCTCATATGATAACATGTTGTGAACTTGGCTTTCTTTGTCCCATTGGGCCATTTGCTAGCATTGGGGCTGTGCTGAGAAGAGTATCCTATAGATTCACATGTCTCAAAAGCAGGAAGCAAATAGAAAACACTCAACTAACAATGAGAGCCTCCTACAATCTAAACACTGCCCACTCTCCCCCGTTCCCTGAAGCTTATATGACAAATCAGAGAACATTCCCCAGGCCTCTCAATGTCACCCCCACTCTTTATAATGTAAATGATCACCCAGAGGTAAATATCTACTTTATATTTAACTGCTGTGTGGGAAACTAATGCAAAGAGGGAGTGGAGATCGGCCACTACCTCTTCCGAGCCCAACTGGGGTTTTCATGCTCCTTATTGCCATAACTTGGGTCAGAACTGGACAGATATGAAAATATGCTATGTATATTTAACTCTCAGCACCCATATAAATAAGGTGGACTTTCTCTTCCAGTGTACCATTTAGTTTAGTTACGTATAGTTTGAGAAAATGATTAGACCTACCTGCATTTTACTTTGATCCATAACTTTTGCATATACGCCAAGGAAAGCATAACTCCTGCCTGCTCACAAAAGTAGACCCTGCTTTTACAACCCATCGCCCTCTCCCTCCCTGCCCTCTGCTTGCCCAACACTTCCCCCACACTGAACCTCATATACATACACACTCACATTCAAACATCCCACCTTCACCTGTAGCTCCCAAGATGGCCAACATCAAGAAGACAGGTAAGATGGTTTTGATGTTATTTGGAATCTTGGCTCACTTGCAGTTCTCTCTGTCTCTCTGTCTCTGTCTCTGTCTCTGTCTCTCTCTCTCTCTCTCTCTCTCTCTCTCTTTCTTTCTTTCTCAAGCTTTTGGGCAGATTGTCATTTGTACCATCCAGAGAACCAAACCAGGATGGGCTTGGTTCTACATAGGTTAGGCCTTTAATCTCTAAATCGACATCATTTATACGGAGTGATTTATGAAATGGTACCCCGGAAGAGTCTGTGCACCTCCCCTGGGTCAACTGAGAAGTTGGTATGACTCAAGAGTCCCCATTTCTTTAAGTCAGCCCCCAGTCTGCCCAGAAGCTGCATGACTGAGCACCGTTTGGATGGGGCAATGCTTAGCACTGCTGCTTGCACGAGCCAAGCTATGAGGGAAATTCCATAGGGTTCCTTTATCTCATCTTTTAAGCAGAGATGCTGGTACTTACAGTACAGACTCACATAGGAATTAATTATGAAGTACCTATATTTTTCTTTAAATGGTAAATTTCAGGGACGGTGGTGATTTTGCTGTCCTTTTTTTTTTTTTTTTTTTTTTTTTGACTAATAAGGGTTGGACTGGTCAGACTTGGAGAGCAACATCACAACTCAGTGGCATCAATTAAGATGGGCCCCAGTTCTGAGCAGCGTGCTTCTAACACAACAGAGCATCTGTCTACACGCCACCCCAACCGACCCTCACATAGGCCTAAGTGCGCTCACACCTATGCCTGGGCTTTACCAGCCCTGTACTTGACCTCTCTTGGCAACAGATGAGGACACAGGTCCCCTTCTTAATCACCCATGTGGGGTTGGATTTGTAACATTCTTACCAGTGGGTAGTGGAAACTTGGTGACTGCAGCAAGCTGGTTTGCCAGTGAAAATGTAGTAGTATCCCTGAGCTACAAGGACAGACAGCAAAACCTACAGGTGTGCTTCAGCCATGCTCTCAAATGACACTGCTTGCCCCAGCTGGGCTCCCACTGTGTTCAGGCACTGGAAGAGTGCAGGCAAAATCAGAGGAAACACATTGGGGCACCACCCCAGATCCTGGGAGCAGTTCTGCCAGAGGCACTGTCTTTCAAGTCCCCAGAAGGTGCCCATGCCCTTGAGTGCTACCAATACACTCCTCACTTCACCAGCATTATTTTTAAGTCCATTTCCGTAATCTCTGGAAACGACATTGACTCTGCAAGCGAGTTATAGAAACTGAGGTGTCAGATGCCTACTACGTATCTGTTTCTCACATCCTGAGAGGTAGGCTTCTTGGCTCCTTTTTTTTGTGTGTGTGTGTGTGTGGATAGAGGAAACTGAGATACAATGAGCTACCCAAAGTAGCACATCTCCTGTGTCAGAAGCAGAGCTGGGGCTTGGCTGCTCACTGACTTCCAGGTCTGTTGCTGCTCGCTCTCATTTCTCTACAGCTGCTGTAAGGCTGTAGAGGGGTTGGAAACCTAGAACTGACTGAGGACACTTCAGTCCTTCTGGAACAGATTATTATAAAACTAGCGTGTGAACACAAGTGAAGAAGAAACAGCTCTATGCCCCTTCCTTGATTTGCAGTCCGAGGAGTCACACCCAAGATGCACCACAGTCCATTGGCAGACAAGCACACCTTCATTACATAATTCTCTGATGCCTCCCAGTGTAGTTATTATGGTGTTTTAGAAATGCCATGAGGATAAATGCCTAGTATTTATCCAAAAATTCACTTGTCTTTGTCAGCAAATGAGCTTAGCTGACACTGGGCTAAATGAAAGCCAGGAGAGAATTAAAGGCCTCTGTTCAGCAATTGTGATAGGTTGTCAGCTCATTTCCCCTAAGCTAGCTTACCTTATCCTTTCCTTTCATGTTGATCTCTGCTCTGTTTTGTTTTTGTTTTTCCATCAACCCACCAGAATCTTTTTCTTGCCCTTTCACCTCTGAAAATGTCCTGCTCAGTTTCTCTTCGTCCCTTCAGGATCCAAAGTACAAGTTACCTGAAGTTCCACTGTGAGAAGTCATGTAGAACCATTTTTGTGGGGTTCTGAAGAACATAGCCAGTTCTGTTTTGGTTTAAGTCACTATTGTTTGTACCCATGCAAAGATATTTCAGAGCAAGGCTGGGTGCTCTGCCTCCTCTTACTGAAATGGTTTGGAATGTACAGTGTTGGTCATTTGAGCCTATGGCCAAGTTAAGGAGGATGTTGATGTGGCTATGACATCATAAGCTAACAGCTCATGCGATGAACACACACACACACACACACACACACACACACAATGTAGCAGTGTGCAGTTCTAGCAGAACTGAAGAGAAATTGAAGTGCTATTGCTCGTGATTACTTCCATCTTCCCAGTATGGAGAGCATCAGCGTTAAGAGAAGCCTTGTAGCTTTCTGGCTGCCTTCCAGCAGTTCCTGGTAAGGAGCCAGCCTTCGTAATTTTCAAAATCAGAAGCAACATTAGGAGTTAAAGTTTAAAAGTGACTGGGACCACTCCTGATTACTAAAGTCAATCAAGAATGTTTACCTGGATCTCAGAGTATATAGGAAAAAGTATGTCCAAATGTTAGACTGAATTCAGCATCTTAAGAATGAGAATTTGTTTGAAAGCCATGGGAGCCTTCCCTTGTCCAGTGTCTGATGGCCGCAGGCCTGGCTGATCCAGTCGCAGCAGAGGAGAACTTGAGTTGCATGTAGCGGTATAACCAGTTCAGTGGTTTCCTGTTGGGACTCTCACAGATAAGCTAGGTGCAAACATGTCTCTCCCAGAGTGCTCAGCGCAGTCACAAGTACTACAGTTTCAATAGACACATCAAACCACATCAGAGTAAGACTGCTGCTTTCCCAGAAGTGCTGATTAGGGATGAAGTAGACCATTTTTGTATGTTCTCATCAGAATTTGTTTGGCTGGAACTCTGCACTCCTTACTGCTTGCATGTTTACTAATTTGTTATTAAACCCTTGTATTTTCCTTTGTTCTTCACAACTAACACACAGGTCTCTAAATGCATGAGTTTTGTGTAGAGTATGACCTAGCAACCAATGAATATATCTGTGATTATGTTTTAAGATCTTATTTGAGATTATTGTACTTAGAGAAGTATTTTAAGTAGTAAGATAAAGTAGAATGTTGAATATGCTGCTTACTTAATTTACTGTTATGAGCTCTTAGAATATTCCTCCCTTTTCCATGTTATGATTTTATTGTGAATGAAATTTCATCATTGGCTTTGTAGTTTAAGAGGATGATTCTGTGTGGTACCAGTTAGACGTTCCATGACTACTGTGGAATTAGAAAGCTAAAACCACAGCTTTCCAGTTTCAGAATGTCAGTTGTCTCCCCGATAGTTAAAGCTTTGCCATAGACAGTGAAAGTAGATGTCAGTGGGCTTGCTCTGAATCTGCTTTTTAGGTATTTGAAAAATGATTCCAGGCATGACATGATATTTATTTCTTATATTCTCGACATCTCAGGACCCTGTCTCCTGCCAAGTCTCCTTCTTCATCAACTGGGTCTATTGCGTCCAGCAGAAAATACCCATACCCGATGCCTCCACTTCCTGATGAGGAGAAGACAGTGAACCGACAGAGTGCCAGGGTACACAGAAATTCCCACATGCTTATACTTGGTCATTACTGGTTACCTCTGAGCTTACTATTCATCTATATCCCACCCCACCTCCCATTTTGAGACAGAATTTTGTCGTGTAGCCCAAGCTTAATCTCATCTCAGCATCCCAAGTGCTGGAATCACAGGCATGTGCCATTATGACTGGTTTTGGATATATATCTTGTTTGAAACAGGGTTTCTCAGTGTAGCCGTGGCTGTCCTGGGTCTCACTCTGTAGACCAGGCTGGCCTCAGACTCAGAGATCCACCTGGGCGTGTACCACGCCCAGCCTATTACTGTATAATTATGTCTTTATTTTTTCATTATTGTTTAACTCAACTCTGGGTTTGAAAAAATTAAGGATGTATTTTGCTTTATGAGGCTTTGAAGGGTCTTTTTAAAACCTCTGCCTTGGAATTCTAGAGACTAAGTGATTTAGTTCTCTCTCCATGTCCAGTTTGATCACTCAGGCCTCTCACTGGCTTGTTACAATTCAGTAGGAGTTCAGAAATAGGAACCTGTGACAGAAAAGCAGATTAGTGTCTTGGTACATAGGAACCTATGAAGGAAAACCATGCTAGTGTCTTGGTACCAAAGGCAGAATTTAGATGCAAAGGAAAAAATACTTGAAAATCTGTAATATTGAAAGAATACTATAAAGGGTATGGTAAGATTTTAAAATATAACAGAATTCCCCACCCCCACCCCTTTTTAAAAATCAACTTAGTGCTGGGTGGTGGTGGCAAACAACTGTAGTCCCAGAACTTGGGAGGCAGAGGTAGGTGGATCTCTGTGTTTGAGGCCAACCTGGTATACAGGGTATACAGCCAGGACAGGCTCCAAACCCTGTCTTTCAAAAAGGGAGGAAGGGAGGGAGTGAGGGAGGGAGGAAGGAAATAAATTTAGTTTTGTGTTAAGAAGGATTTTATCTCAGGGCCTTGCTACCTTGATAGAAACAAAACAAAACAAACAAAAACAAAACAAAACAAAATGCTCTAACCCTGAGCCACACTTATGACCTCTCAAAAGCCAAAATTTTGACAAGGTTTGTTTTTTTATTATTTTTAATGGTGGGGGGGGGGGGGGGGGGGGGGGGGGGGGGGGGGATGTGTGTGTGTGTGTGTGTGTGTGTGTGTGTGTGTGTGTGTTTCCCATGGAGGCCAGAAGAGGGCATCATTGGATCACTGTAATCATGAAGTCTATACAAATAAGAAACCACATTTTGTTCATTGTGAAGACTGCTTCTGTGTATCAATGCTGGAAATGATTAGAGATAGGATTGAAGACTATGAACTCATGTAAAAATGGACTTTTCCTTTTGGTCTGCCAGCTCAGAAAAAAATGACACAGAGACTTATTATTAATGATGAAAGTCTGGCCTTAGCTAAGGCTTGTTTCTTACTAGCTTTTATACTTAGATTAACCTGTATATTAAAATCTATATTCTTCCATTCGCTTGTTATCTCATCTCCATTATGCCCATCCTGGTTATTCCATGGCTGGCTGGTTAATCAGTTTTTCTTCCAAGAGCTCTCTGTTCAGAAGTCCTGCCTATATCTCCTGCCTAGCTATTGGCCTTTAGCTTTTTATTAAACTAGTCACAGTTACACATCTTCACAGTGTAGATTCCCAGTGCTCAACTTTCAACTTTGTCTATAGTCGTCCAGTTGTTAGGGATGTGCTATGTAGTAAGCAAGTGGCTGTGGTCCTTTCCCTCCTCAGAGCTGTAAGTCTAGCACTTCATTTCTTTTCCTGGTAAATTATCTGTATCATTGTTTTGCTGTATCAAACTGGGGGTGTTGTCTTAGCTGTCACCATGGAAAAGTGTAGATTATTAGAGATGTTAACATATGAGAACTCATGGAAAATGACAGTTCCCCAGGAAGGAGAAAGGGGTGTCCCATTCTCTTCCCATAGGCTGAGCAGTGTAATCATGAGGACTCTACTGCTGGAATATTGGTATAGAAGGTCTGACTTGATCTCTGTTTTGTGGGAGAGACATGTACCATATAGAAGAATCCTATTGAGTAGGTAACCCTTGTCTCTCAGCTGTTTTGGTGAGTTGTGGAAAATGCATCAGGAAGCCTGCTGTTAAAGCCATACAGGTGGGCAATCATGCCTATTGCTATTGATGATGTTATAATTGTCTTTTATTTGTTTCCCTCGGGGATAATTTTTATGGATGGTTGGGTTCTTCTCACCAGCCCGGTCTCACAGCTGCATCAGCCTCAAATGAACACACAAAGACTTACATTAATTATAAATCTGTTGGCTAATGACTAGGGCTTCTTATTGGCCAGCTCTGTCTTAATTGTTAATCCATAACTATTAATCTGTGTATTTCTACATGGTCTTATCTTACCGGAGAATGGTTGACTTTCATTCTCTTTTCCTGGGATCACATGATGACTCTCTTCCTACACTTCCCAGAATTCTCCTCATCTCCTAGATGCACCTGTCTTGCTGCCCTATTGGCCAACAGTGTTTTAGTCATCAACCAATAAGATAAACACATACAGAAGAACAACCCCATGACTTTTAGTTTCCTTCAGTGTTTTTTGTTTTGTTTTGTCTTTTCCTGGAAGCTCAATGAAGCCAAAGTACTGTCTCTTTCCCACTCCAGACCACCTTCTAGCATTCACCCTGAAGCGCTCTGATTACTTCCTCTATACATAAAATGATCCTTAGATTTGAGAGTTCACATTGGGTTCAAAAAAACAAAGGAATCTTTTTAAAAACATTTAAGACTTACTTATCTTCATTTTCTATGTATGAGTGCTTAGCCTGTATGCATGTGTGTGCATCGTGTGTTTTTCTGGTACCTACAGAGGCTAGAAGAATGTGTTGAACTCATTGGAACTAGTATTGTACACAGTTGTGAATGGTCCTGTGGGTGCTGTGACTTGAACCTCAGTCCTTTGGGGGGGGAGTGGCGGGAAGCAGCAAGTGTTCTTAAACACTAAGCCATTTCTCCAGCTCCAGAATAGATCTTTTTAATAGCAGAGATATATAAGCCTGGCCTGAGTAGGAAGCTCAACTGGCTTTTCCATGCCTGTGGAGTATGCTACAATTTCTGTTAGAACAAGAGTTCCACAGAGGTTTGGGCGAGTATGTTAAAGTAACCTATCTAGAAAGATATACTTGATGCACTATGGTCCCATGTGACTAAAGCCCTTGACAGATTGAAGAAAGAAGTCAGGGGACTCTCAGATATATAGTGAGTGTGAAGCCAGCCTGGGCTACATGATACTCTGTCTCACAAAGCAAAACAGACAAGAAATGCTAATTGTGTTGTTTTCTCTTCTTTCCCCACAATTTACATGCCATGAAATATCTTATATCCTGTTAAAATGGAATTTGAATGGAAGTTAAATATAACCTAAGACACTCTATTATACTTTCTTTGTTCTTGTGTAAAATATTTATATGTGAGTCATATAGACTGGCAGGCTTTTAAAAATTAACCTCCTTCTCTAGTGAACTGAGATGCTGGTCTGAGTGGGTCAATATCATTTGCCATCCATAAAGGCAATTACTGCACAAAGTAGATCTGGCCAGGCTCGGAATGAATAACTGATAGCAGAAGCAAATAAAAGGAAGGGATGAGGAAGCATGCATCTGTCAACACTAACATGTCAGCCCCTAGGGATCAGTTTGCTAGCAGTCAGTGATAGAGCTCACAGGTCCACAATGATGTGTATGGGGATGGTGTTTGTTGATGGAGTCAAACTTCTCAGCCTTGGCTGTGCATGAGAATTGTCTCAAGAACTCCAAAGTAATTTAAAGCTAAAACCCAGCACTGAGATTTTGATTTAGTCAGTGTGGATTTTAAAACTCTTGAGGAGATAGCTCAGCTGGTAAAGTGTCTGTCATACAAGCATGATGGCCTTAGTTCAAATCCCCAGTACCCATGAAAAGGCCAGGTATGGTGGTGCATACATGTGGTCCTGGTACTGAGGAGGCAGAGGCAGAGGCAGAGGCAGAGGCAGAGGCAGAGGCAGAGAGGCAGAGGCAGAGAGGCAGAGGCAGAGAGGCAGAGGCAGAGAGGCAGAGGCAGAGGCAGAGGCAGAGAGGCAGAGGCAGAGGCAGAGGCAGAGGCAGAGGCAGAAGCATTAGGAGACTTGGAGCTTGCTGGCCAGATAGTCTTGCCAATACCATGAGCCCCAAGTACAGAGAATGAAATGGAGAATCATGAATGAAAGCACTTGACTTTGACCTCGCATCTCCACATGCACAGGCATGCATATGATTGTGTATTCTTCCATATGTATACACATATGAATATGTATACATGCAACATACACACACACACACACACACACACACACACACACACACACACACACACACACAGTTTCCCCAGATAGGTTTTCAAAGCTCTGATTGAGAATCACTATTATAGCTGGCAGAATACTGCTGGAAATAAAGGAAATAGGCAGCTTAAAAATAATATTCTAACATTCTCTAATCTGAGAGATGTGACATTTATTTGAAATTTTAAGTAACATGAAATGAGAATGTGAGGGTTCTGTTGTTGTTTGTTTGTTTTATAAAAAGGTGGCAATTGTTAGAACCATTAATATTGGAGCTGTGAGATGGCTTAGTGAGCAAGGAATTTGCTGGGAAGGCATGCAGACCTGAGTTCAGTGCCTATAGAGCCAGCACTGGGGAGCCAGAGACAGGTGAATTCCAGGAGTTCACTGGCCAGTGAGATGCCCTGTTTTAAGGAAATGAGATGGGGAGCAATAGGGGAAGATTCCCAAAGTCCTTGTCTGGCCTCCTCATGTCCTTGCATGGGCATATAAACACACACATTCACATACATGTGCCCACCACACACACAAAGAAGAAATGTTAATATCAGGTTTAGGAGAGAGCTAAATGTTTGTGTATTTCTTTTATCTGTTTATTGCACAAGAGCGTGGACCATAGCTACTTATGTGTGGGGGGAATCCTTTCTCGTGGTTCAGAAAGTCTGCTTTCTGTCACAGTGTGTGATTTTGCTTTCCTCTGTTTGCAGCTATGGGAGACATCCATTTAAGAACAACTGTTTACATGTGTCACATCGAAACTGTTTACTTCAACTTTTATAGAAACCCAGCTACCCAGAATCACTGCGAACCTATCTGTTCTTCACACGAGTTGAAGGCGCTCTGAGATGCCAGAGGCAAGGAAGCCATGGGTCATATCTGGATGCCATTTTCTTTTTGTCATTGGCTTAAAGTTTAACCAAACAGTAAAAAAGAGCTACTGGAATTTTACACTACAACACGGAACCATTTATGGTCTGGTATTGGTATGTAAATGGATAATCTGCATGATGGGCATATGTAGAATATCAATAAAATTAAATCACATGACCCAAATGTAGCAGGTTTTCCTGAGGGACAGAAGTGGATTCAGAACTGGGCATTCTGAAATATATCCTCATTGCAAACAGTAATGCCATATGCATGAAGCTTCTGTGTATTGTTTTCCGTATACAAGGAAACAACATCCCACAATAGAAACTAGCATGCAAGGCTGAGGCATATAGGATTGTTCTGCAGGTTGCAGGACTGCACAGCTTTGAGAGGCCAATACCCATATGCTAACTTTAAACATGTATTTTTATTTTTTTTTACTTTTCATATTTATATTAGCACACAAGGATAACTGTACATATGTAAAATTTTCAAATTTAAAAAGTAACTGTTACATATAAGTGTATTTTGCCAAATGCCTAAAAACAGTCAGTCACAATTCTATCATTGTCCTTCATCCTGCGGTCTTCAGAGTGTAAATGGATGATGTTGTAAATATGGTGATCAATGCTGTAAGAGTGTCTTTCCGTAACCAGCATTCGTCTAAATCATGTGACTTCCCTTTGAGGTGTGTACATTCTTGAGGAGGCTTTGTTGAGTAAGAGACCAAAATGGTCAGCACACGTTTGGCCTCTGCATCTTGCTGAAGGTAGAGTCTCAGTGTGTGGTAGCCATGCAGCGTCAGGACATGCTGGAGCTGACAGGCTTTCTGGGAATCTGCCAGCCAGCTTATTCCACACACAAGACACGTGGTGCCTGTCACAGTAGCTGTTCTCGATCCATACCAGGGCACATCAGCTAATCTTAACTGGAGGCCATGGAGTGCCCTCCCCTCCTGAAAGTGTCTTGCTGAGATTGATCAAATGCATCAAAGACACAGACCACTGAGTGGGTAGCTCCCATCTGGCCAGTACCTGAGCCCTTTCTGGCCTAAAGTTTGGGCTCCTTAACAAAATCCTTTCAGCCATTCTTACCTGTTAAAGGAGTGGCCTGTTTTTCACAACTTTAATGCATTTATTTTCACTGGGGTGTAAGTCCCAGTAGGTCATTCTGGATGACTTTGAACAGATGGCGTCTAGAAGACTAAACTGGGCATAAAAGGTCAATAAAGTCTAAAGGCTACATAGATGCAGTAACTGCAAAGGTAGCCATTAGCCTGCAGGGGAAGGAGCCAGGGGTTTTGAGCCCTATACGTTTTGATCCATTGAAAAATGAATATTCTATGTGAAATCTTGTCATTTAAAATGAAAAATTAATAGCTGTTCTAATACAATGTTATCGCTCAAAAAGAAAGCTACTTTAGTGAGATCTGACATTGAAAGGGTCAATCATATGATCTGCTGTGGGATATACTTCTGCCCCGTACCTTTCCTTGCTGTTTTATGTGAGGAATGGAGTCATCAGACAAGACCTCAGAAATGTACTCTACATTTGATTTCTTCCTCAAGTGGCTAGGGACAGTTTGTTTCATATCTGTGTAGAACTGTCTTAGATGCCCAAACTGAAGGGCCAGACTAGAAGACAGTGGTAAACTCAGTTTGTCTTTTGTAATGGTCCACTCTCCTCAAACACTTTGAAAATGTTGGAAAATTAATTTAATTACACAGGTGAAAACAGTTTATCATGCCAGGAAAGGATAGAGTTTGCTGATGGCTCAATAAGACAGTCTTAGACAAAGGCATGGATTTCCAAGTAGCTTAAGGCAAGGACACAAGGCAGACAGGTGGCCGATAAAAAAAGATGTAGCGAATGAAGTGACTTTAGAACAAGATCACTTCAAATGTGCACTGAATGTTTTCTGGTATTGAGGATATAAAAGGCTAATGTAATATAAGGTTTATTTTGACTACAAGAAAAGAGTTTATAGCTTTGACTGAAAGGTGCCTCGTGTAAATACACTTTGTAGTTAGAGTTAGTTACACATGCCCTGGCTTGGAAGCATTCACAAGTGGCTAGCTGGTGAACTGACTATCTGTCTCCCTACCTGTCTTTCCTCATCAATTATTTTTTTCTGAAGTTATCATTGAAAATTACAGTCATTGTCACGTGCCTTTTGGGAGAGACAGTTGCTCTCGTTTGCAGACTGATTTTAGGAACTCACGAGCTTTAATATTGTCATTGGCATCTATCTCCCATGTTTAAGCATTCTTAGAATTGTTTTTGGAACTAATAGACTTTAGTGTTGATGGTTAGCTTCGAGAAGGATGTATCAGTGGACTTACCAGTGTTGGTATTGTAGCTATTCCATTTAACTACATTATGTCTTCATTCGCTGAGGTAGACAGGATAGACTCATGGAATCAACAAGTACAAGCACAGTGATTACTTCTTTTTTAAATGTCTATTTTGAGAGGAACTTTGAAGCTCCATAATGGTTTGAGTCATGCAACTAACATTCATACTTCTCGGTCTACTGTGGGATCATTACTACATAGATAAGGGCAGTAATGTGTTCATTGAGTGGCATTTCTCTTTCTAAGATTCTTGGCATCAGTAAGACTGCAGATAGCCCAAATGTTTGAGATGTTCCATTCATCAGTTCATTTCCATTCCCCTGTAAAGGAATGTTTAAGACTTTCCACAGTATGACCAGGGAGGCCTGCAGTAACAGAGAGTCCTTAAGGAACGGACTCTCCTGGCCACTGTCCTGAGGTGGGAAACCCTCCTCCAGAGTCAGCAGGATAGGGAATGATCCCAGTCACACGCAGCCTGCAGAAAGAGGGAGATAGGTGATTCTCACTGTTCTGCAGTGACTGGATATGAAGAATAAAAACCACATGTCCTAGCCCCTCACTTAGATGCTAAATAATGAACAGCCCATCTTTAGGTTCTTTAACAGAAACATTGCCTGAGGATGAGATGCCTTCTGAGTACTTTATTTCATTATACAGTTTCTTTTCCTTCTTGTTTTGCAAGGCTTTTAAAATAGTGTCTGCACAGAAGCTCAGTCCAATATAGAATTTATGCATGAAAGATTGATGGCGTATCTAAAAGAAGCCACAGTGATGATAACATGTTCTCTGCCCTCGTGGGGTGTGGATGGAAGGCTGCTGTGTGTTCCAGGACAGATCCACCTGCCTTTCTTCTGCCGATCACCTTGCATATCTGCACAACTTTATCCTGTCCATTGCCCTATATCCTCTGTAGCTATGTTACCTGTTGCCCTTTGCGATTTTGTTCTTTTGTTTTTATGGTTATCATTGAGCCTGACCAAGTGTGGCATTTCTACTTTCTTCTTATAGGGTTTTAGAGTCAAGTTTGTTCATTTATTCATTTCACCCTGTCATTTTCTATTGTCATATAGGATTTAATCGACAGTTGTGGAAATTGGCTCAGGCGGCAGCCATCTGACTGTGTGAGCAGCATGTTGTTATAATGTCCCTGATGGTTGCTATTGGCACTTGCTGACAGCATATGTTCTGTGGGGCAGGCACTTTCAGCTTTTAGAGTTTTCCTACCATCCCTGATGCAGAAAAAAATTGTTCCCAGACTTGGACAGCAGAAGGTAGCATTTCCATCCCCAGTTTGGTCATGGTTTTGTCAGTCTTCAACATGGAGCATCTCAAGTCAGTAAGCATAAAATCAAAATTTAAAAGACCAGTGACTGTTGTATTTGTGCCCTTCATATTCCTGGCATTAGAAAACAGTATCATTACTATGGGATCTGATGGCTGCATTGAGAATTTCCTACTTCCAAAGTATATGTGCAGGACTTTTCCTAGTGATTAGCAATGCCCCCTAGCATGCAGGCTAGAGCTTTCTTTGGCTAAAATGGAAATTGGGAGAACCACAAGATTAGGATGAAGGGAGGTCATCTTTCATTTCCTTTTAGCATGCTGGTTTGAATGTGCATCTTGGAAAGTCACTAAAAGATGGGTCTCAGGTTGTAAACCTCAGGAATGGGAATAAGCAACAGAGAGTTTGGGGAGATCCTGGGTCATTTAGTCTCAGCCTAGGACCACAGTGCACATGCATGTGAAGTGTGCATAAGAGATCAATATGTCCTGGCCATGCTTGGCAGGAAGTCCTGGGCACCAGCAGCAGACTGCATGCTTTAATTTTCTATGTGTTTTATTGTCCACTGCTGTGTCCCTGTTACATTGTTCATTGGCCTGCATTGCACTGGGAGGGGCTTCAAAAGTGGTAGAGTGTTGACCACAGGCAGCGTGGAGTCAAATCCAAACAAAATGTATTTTATTCTGTTTCATTTTACAAAAAGGCCTACAGTGAGAAGAAGCAATCTTAATAAGTTAATCTACACAAGGCCATCAGTTAGTTCTGTTTATGAACAAAGGTTAGCCTCCCCTAAATGTATGAAGATGCATGTATGCACATTCTGCATTCAAGTTATGCTATTTCAGGACATGATCTGTTCTGATGGTTGAGTTTTCAAATAATACAAATAGCCCAAATCTTTAAATATAGCGGTGCTACGATTTATCAGATAACATAGAAAGTGCTGAAGTGAATCCAGACATTTAAGGGGAACACAAGGGTTCCTGTTAAATTACACACTTGTATCACTGCCTAAATTGAAAACCCACTTTTCCTTTCTAATCCAGCACAATATCAAACTGCAACTCTATAGCTCCTCTTTTTAATGGGCACAAATGACCTAGCACCTTTTTTTTTTTAATGGAATATTTATTTATTTATTTATTTATTTTTGCTAACTGCAAAGTGCTTAGCAAAAGGTTCCTTCAGGATGCAGAGCATTTTTTTTTTTTAAACTTTTTGGAAGACTTGCCCCTCCAAACGAGCATTTCCAAATGACAATCTCCAGAAATGGCTCATTTCACCTAACCAAAGCAGTTCAAGTTAGTTGGCATTAGGTCTCTTCAGGTGCTTCCCCCATTCACAGCCTCTGAGGGTGACACCCATCTAAGATAACAGAGACCATCCCCATGGGGACGTGTTAAGAGCATCAGCGTGGTTCACTTGGACTAACCAGGCACTTGTGTGTGTATATACTTAGATTCACATCATTCAAGCCTCCTCTCTGCTACTCCGCACGCACTTCCGGTTCTTAGGCTATTTAAAACTCCCGGGTTTTGGCAAACATCAACAGAAATGTAAATGGTGATTGCCTTCCTAAGCAAGTGTGGTTTGTTTTATGGCTGTTCAAGTTATAAAGTTGTTCTCATATTGTAGGTAAACAAAATCTTGCTGTTTTTAAAGGTCACTCTAACTGGAGATTAACTTTCTGGCACAATTTTATTAGTGTTCACTTCTGAAGCTAATAAGATATCGGAGTTTTCTATGTTACTCTCATTGTAACATCAATAAAGTGGCTTTCAATAAAAGATTTATGTTATTTTGATGCACAGCTCTTTCAGTTTTTTTTCTTCCTGGTCAGCATCTCTGAGAAGCTGTCAGAAGATTCCATTCTTATGGTCCCTGAGGAGACAGGAGAAAAACCAATATTCCATTTGTTGGGCTGTTCCTCTGATGAGGAAGCAAGGGACTTACTTGTCTTCTGACCTCTCTCCTGCCCTGTGACATTTAACTCTTGATGAAGACTTGTTTTGAACTATTGTTAAAACCTGAATACCAGAAACACAATTTATATACTTGAGGATGGATCCAGAAGCAAAGTCAGAACCAAAATCTAAGTAACACAACGTGGGGGTTATGCAAATGACAGGGGCCAGCAAGGGTCAGCTTCCTTATTGCTTATAGTCACCTGGGAAATGATCATTTCTTTAATGATCATTCAGAAGACCTGGGCCAGTTTAAAACCGAATAGCAAGTATTAGGACTTTATAGGACAGTCCAGCCTCCTCATCCTGAGCAGCCTTGGTCTTTTCCTGGACAGCCTGGGCCTAGGTTAAAGCAAAGCTCTGTGACAGTTCAGACAAAACATCTGAAATGAAACCCAGACTTGCCATATAAGATACAGCAGGCACTGTCACACTCTGACATGTAACCTGAGCATAAGTACTGACTAAAGACATAGTAAGTTAGGGTCAGCAAACATGAAATGACTAAATATGTGCAGTGTACATACTAAAACTATCAACATATATTTGTGAAATGAGGCTGGAGAGGCTTATGAATGTTTATTTCACCAGTTGAGAGTTAATTGTTTGCTTGAATGGTCATGTTCACATTGTGCCTGACAAGACAGATACATTGCTAGAGAGAAAAGTGTTACCATTTTTAGCCAACTGTAAGAAACAAACACCACAGATGCTTTTTATATCAGCACACTTCTGCATACTCAGAACAACCCCATGGGATAAGGATTCTCTTCAAAGATGGCCACACTGGGTGCCTTGTTCTTACATAAAATGACCAAGCTACATACATAGCAAGGCATTGGCAGCAAGATGATTATTCAAACATTTGAAAAAAAATTTGTGTGTGTGGGCGTGCCCACGCGCACACACGTGTGCATGAAAACTCATTATAGAACACTTGAAAATTTAGTGAGAAGAGAGATCCTACTCCCAGTGGTTTAAGCCAGGTCAACAATTGATTCATTCATTTCAATTCCTTTCTTGCATATGTTTAAATACAAAACACATGGAAAAAAATGGATTTCAACCATGTTTTAAAATGATCCTGTCTGGTTTTTATTTTTATTACTTTTACTTATGTGTGTGCATATGCATCTGTTCTGGGTATGTGCATCTGAGTGCAGGTGCCTGTGGAGGCCAGAGACAACAACATGGATGCTGGGAACTTGGGTCCTCTGTAAGAGCAGCACATACTCTTAACTGCTGAGCTGTCTCTCTACCCCCAACATCTGCTTTTAAGATGGAAGCATGTACATTATAAAATTTTGTGAGATATAGAAATACATATAAAGGAAATTAAAGTCACCTAGAATCCCATTAGTCAAAGATAAACAGTTAATATATTCTTATCTCCCTGTAGTCTTTTACTGTCAATTTTAAGCTTATAGAAGACTTGTAAGTATAATTAACAAAAGTTTGGATGGATGACAAAAGAGGGCGTGGTGATAGTACTTTTGCCACTCAAATTATCTATAGGTTTCTAAAGAGGAAGACAATAGTCATTCAATACCTCTGTCCACTCAAGGTTTTCAAACTCGCTGAGTCCTACAGCTTGCACTTTGTTTCTACTACATGGATTACCATGTGCATTGGTTTCTTTTGCACCCCCGTGGACCTTACGCCACTTACATATCAGAATATCACACACAAAACATAACCAAATGCCTCAGGGCAACAAAGGATAATAGGTAAGTCTGATGAAAAGATTTCATGTCACAAGAAAATATACAATATGCTTTAAACATTTTGCATACTTAAATTTATATAAAAGACAGCAGGAAAATAAGGCATGGTTAATAATGGCTCAAGGAAGGTATGGCTGGTACAACAGACTTGTTCTTATATTACTGAACTTCAAGAATTTATCATCAAAATTAAAAATGAAGCTTCACTTGTATGTAAAGTCAAAATCCCATTCAACAGCTGTCAGGGAGTGTTGGTGGAAATCTGCACACAGCACTGAAGGCAGGAGGAAGCAAGCATGGGCTCCAGTTGGAATGTTGAGTATATTCAGACAACTTCCTCTTGACTTAGACGGTCATGACACACTGAATGAACTTAAAGAGGAAAATTAGAGTTATACTTCAGACTGCAAAATACTGAGGGTGCTGTAGCCTTTCTGGGGGCAGCTCCCATTTTAGTTCTTTATCTTGGCATTGTGGGAAAACAAAAAGAACAAAAAAATCGCAACTTTCAAAGTCATGCATAAATGAACAGCAGGGTGGGAAGGGTCTTACTGGTAGGGGAACTTTCTATTGTAAAGTCCGATGAGTTCCTCACTTTATGGGGAGGAGGGATCACTTCACCAGATAAAGAATTGAAATATCTAGTAATATTTAAGAGTCTAGAAACGGCCATGGTCAAAAGTACTTGCCCACAGGAGCAAATAACAAGTTTACACTGTCATAGCATGTGAGGACTTCCAAACTGATTTCACCCTGCTACTCTAGCAGCATCTTGACCCAATCATCCTGTAAAAGCTGTCCCATCAATTCAAGGCCATACACAGAGAAAAGCCGACCCTGCCCCAGCCACTCAGAAACATGCATTTAGCAACATCAGTATTTGCTGTGCGTTGCTGTCACCGTCCTGCAGACACCCCCAGACCAGTGCTTCTCAACCTTCCTAATGTTGTGACCTTTTAGTATACTTCCTCATGTTGTGGTGACCCCTGGCTATAAAATTATCTTCACTGTTACTTCAAAACCATAATTTTGCTACTGCTATGAATCATTGTAAATATCTGATATACAGGCTATCTGATATTTGACCCCTGCAAAGAGGTCGGGGAGACCCACAGTCGAGAACTACTGTACAAGACTCTGTCCCCCTAAGCTTATACTCCAACACTGGTAAGGAGCCCCAGTACTAATTCCTGCAACAATTCTGCTAAGCCAACTCGATGATTCCTTTTTGAGAGAAAAGGAACACTTAGAAACCTCTTTATAGTGGTCCCCTCTGATGCCAGAATCTATACCTTTCTCCCTCCCCAGCTAATCGCCGTAAACAGCTTTCTTTAAACAGTGCTTTCAGTTGGCACCTGCCTTACGTTCTCAAGGAACAGCACAGGTGTGCAAAGCACAGCTATAATGTAAGCTACCTGTCCATGATGTGTTTTATACAAGGTGAGAGCAGATGACATGTCTGTATCCCAGGACATCTCAGGACACAGCTGACTGAAACCTGTCAACAGCCCATTGAAAGGCCTTATTGTCACTTCGTATATGTATGTGTATGGGTGTATGCTTGTGTGTCGGGATGCACATGTATGTAGAGGCTAAGAAGCAACCTCAAGTGCCATGCCTCAGATGCTGTCCACCTTTTCAGAGTGATTCTCACTGGCCTCAAACTCACTAAGCAGGTTTGGCTGGAACATTAGTAAGCACTGGATCCAACTGTCTCTACCTCCCTGGTACTGGGATTACCAGCGTTTTGCACATGGGTTCTGGGGATTCTGCCAACCACACTATCATCCCAGCCTGAAAGAGGTATCGTTACTATGATACCTGTGTCACTCAGTCAGAGCAACAGGGAAATCTACTTATATAACCCAGTCAATAAAAGCAACAGGCCCGGCTAGAATCTGAAGTAATACGCCTGCCTCATCCTCAGAAGTTTTGGGATCACAGGCATGAACCACAATGTCCTGCCATGTTTTCTGTTTGTTTGTTTGAAGTAGAGTCTCACAAGCATAGCTCAGGCTGGCCTTGAACTCATGGCAATCCACCTGCCTCACTCTCTTGAGTGCATGCATGAACCACTATGTCCATATTCTTAATAGATAGCTTCAAAAAAGAATCCCACTTTATGTAAAGTATATCTTCTACTTAGCTCTTATTTGCTGAAGCTTACATCATCATATGAGAAATTCACCATTCCTTGTTGACCAGAGTCCCGTCTTCGAAAGCTATCTGCAAAACAACACAGTAAAATGTAGTTTTTCTTTTAATGGTTTTTCAAAAATCACAACTGCTAACTATTTGATATTGGAATCAAACTCCAATAACACTTACATTCTTTTTTTTTTTTTTTAACACTTAAATCCCACAAACAGACAACATAAGGCCATAGAAAAATAGTCATACGATTTAATACATAGCAGTGACATCCTGGGCAGAAGTGTCTCATGGCCATGGATCTGAGAAAACTGACTGGTCTCAGTAGGAGTACTTCAGCTTTCAAGGTCCTTAACTTCAGTGAAAGCATAGGGTTATAAATACCATAGTAAAACAAATGCTGCTTAAGCAAGGAGACAGATGGATTCAGTCCCTACTATGCTAAACGGGCTGTGACCAAATATCCCACTCATTTTAATCCCACTGACCAATCAAAAATGATTAACTTCACTTTTACTCTTTTCAAACATTTCACAGTTGAAGAGAATGACTCATAACTGCACTCTGTGATTGCAATTGCAAAAATTAGGGCTGTGGGTGTAGCAACATGGTCCAGGGTTTAACTAGCATGTGTGAGCAGTCTGTGATCATAGCACCAGCAACACATTTAAAATATAGACAATTATATCTGCAGCATTTTAATCACATGTACTTCAATTACTCATTCATCTGAAAAAAACGTCTGAATTGTGTATTATGCTTCATTTGCTTAAGAGCTGTATTAAGGGTCTACTAATGCACCCCCTAAAACCATAAAAAGAACTGGGGAGAATGGAAGTTCAGAGGCATGGAGAAATGAGAAATGTCATAAAAAGAATTTCCTAGGCTAGTCAGGCTGAAAGGTTTCAGGGACACACCTGTAAGAGCCCTCAGTTTGACACAGCAGGCAATGTAGTCATCAAAGGTGATCTTCCCACTGGTGCTGTATCGCTTTGCAATTGAATTCACAGTTTGGGGGTTCAATCTGAATCCTGGAAGGCAGAAAAAACACCCAGCAAGAAAAGGTTGAAGGCTTGTGAAAACAAGAAAACAACAACAAACCCCAAACAAAACAGTATCAAACTTCAAAAAAAAAAAAATAATAATAAAATAAACAACTGAAGTAAAGAAACTGTCTTCAATAGCACAGGCTTTAGGGACAAACAAAACACGTTTAGTAGGGTAATGGAGAACTCTAGCTGGTAATACGAACCCATTGTCATCAGGGCTTTCTGCAGCTCCTGGGGATCCACTGTTCCACTTCTATCGCTGTCAAAACTGATGAAGTGTTGTCTCCAGCCATTCAGCACCGCCCAGAGCTCTTTAAATTCATTGAATCCCATGGTGCCAGACATATCTCTCTGGAGTATAATCAAGGACCGGAACTGTCTTATTTCACAGCTTAAAGATTTCACAAGAGATTGAGGAAGGGTAAGGGGAAATCAATGTTCCTTCTGTTAAAAATGACAAAATGGCACCCCAAATTTTTAAAAAGCTATTCTATGTTCTTGCTGCTTTAATAAAAAAACATTAATGATAAATGATGTAATAAATGGCCCATGGCTTTACTCTGAGCATGTGATGATACGGCACTTCCAGCCAAGTAAAAAGCAGTTTTCTTACTGGAATTGGGCATGCTTTCTGGGTGCTCCAGGTCATGGATTCTGATAGTCCAAGTTGTCAGAACCAAGGATTTCAGCTGTAGAAAGTAATTTGATTATTATGTGGCTAGAGGACTTTCCTTTCTGGTCCACTCTATTTGGTGTTCTGTAAGCTTCTTGTATTTTCATTGGCATGTCTTTCTTTAGATTGGGAAAATTTTCTTCCATGATTTTGTTGAATATATTTTTTGCACCTTTGAGTTGGGTTTTTTCACCTAAATATCCAGAGATCTACAAGGATGAACCCAACTAACAATCTAAGCAATAGTGGAGAGGCTATCTTAAATGCCCTTCCCCTATAATGAGATTGATGACTACCTTATATACCATTCTAGAGCCTTCATCCTGTAGCTGATGGAAGCAGAAGCAGACACCCACAGCTAAACACTGAGCCGAACTCCTGGAATCCAGTTACAGAGAGGGAGGAGCGATAAGTAAAGGGGTCAAGACCAGGCTGGAGAAACCTGAACGTGGGGGAGCTCATGCACCCCAGTCTGATAGCTGGGAAACCAGCGTAGGACTGACCCAGACCCCCTGAATGTGGGTGTCAGTTAGGAGGACTGGGAAGTCTATGAGGCCTCTGGTAGTGGATCAGTATTTATCCCTAGTACACGAATGGACTTTGGGAGCCCATCCCACATAGAGGGATACTCTCTTAGCCTAAACACATGGGGGAGGGCCTAGGTCCTGCCCCAAATGCTATGACAGACTTTGAAGATCCCCGGGGGCCCCACCCCGGCCACCATGGGGGAGGGCCAGGGCCCGCCCCAAAGCGAGGACGGACTGGAAGACCCCCCCATGGAAGGCCCCACCCTCCCTAGGGAGCAGAAAGGGGGTGGGCTGGGGTTTAGTGGGGGGTGATAGGGGAGTATGGAAGGGTGACAGAACTGGGATTGACATGGAAAACAATTTTGTTTTAAATTTAAATAAAAAAAGGAAAAAAAGAGAAAAATCATAGTGTAATTTGTTGTGAAATAATATATACTATTGCCAACACAGCACCCCATCTTAACATGGGGAAAGAAAGATAGAAAGGAAGAAAGAAAGAAAGAGCCAAGCTGAGAGGAGGGACTGGCTGGCATTCTTCTCTACTTTGATGCCTTACTGAACTAACTCTAATACACACTCCCCACCCTCTCTCTTGAGAAAGGATCTCTGCAGCTCAGGCTAACCCCAACTCACAGTATAGCCCATGCTGTCCTCAAACTCACAGTGATCCTCCTGCCCTAACATCCTGAGTGCTGTGATTACAGGCATGAGCCACCACACCTCTGGCTCCTTGTGCGATCTTGAACAAACTTCCTTCCTGCCTGTTTTTCACACCAAATTGCATCCTAATGGCGAGTTATTTCATCAAGCTTTTTGGTGGTTGCTTATTATTTTGTATTTACTTGTTATTCACCCTGAGATGAAATGTCTTAGAAAGATATTTTTTTCTTTTTGCTGAGGAGAAAAACTCTAGACAACCATCAAGGCAAAGGATACGTCCAACATTGAAACCATAAGGCGACAAGTCTCTAGATTAAAAGCTGTTAAATCAAAGAAAGTACATGAATAAATGTAATTTCAAAATTTCATATCACATTGGAATCAATCAAATTAATTATGAATTTTAAAACATGCTACTCATTTTGCACGCTATTCATTCACCATTTGGTGGTGTTTGGCTTATACCAATTTTGTGGAACCGTGAGGCAAACATGGCCCAGTTTCAAAATATTTACTTCATGTACCTGCCCATGTTAGAGATACCCATAGGAACCCCAAACCCCTTCCCCAGCATGCACAACTGGTACATAGGATTAGGATCACCTGGCAGTCCCACTGTACTCCCAGTGCAGTCATTTCTTTAAGCTGTAGCACTCCTTAACAGATTTAGCTGATTCAATTTTATTAAGCCACTTCCCAATCCCTAAGATCTGGATCTGAAGAACCTGTACTAAAGTCCTGCAAACTGCTAATCTTGGCTAAGCAGAACACTGTGTAGACAGGCTGCTATAATTCACAAGCTAGAATTCTTGGCCTTTACTAGCCAATTACCCTAACTTCTGGATCTGATCCAATGTCATCCTACTTAGCAGAAATACTCCTTAAAGAATATTACTACACGTCACAGGTCTCTAGCATCTACCAGTCCTACAGCCATGAATGTTCGAATAACTGAAAGCTGGGGGTCCCTGCTTTGCTGTAGTTAGTGTACCAGATCTTCCCACCAACGGAAATGGAAAATGTCTTGATTCATGACTTCCTATTAAGTCTTGACTATACAAGTCCATGTGACATCTTTCCTAGTGGAACATGGCATTCAAGTTAACTTGAGCCCATGTTCCTGAACACCGTCTTCATGTTGTATATCTTAAATAAAATACCAATATGGTTATAGGACAATGGTTTCCTCATTTTATTTGATTTACTTATTTGGCTTTTTTGAGAGTTTCATGTAGCCCAGGCTGCCTTCACCTCTATGTAGATGATGACCTTAAATCCCAGCCCTTTCTACCTCCACCTCCCAAATGAGCAGACTGTAGGCACAGATTATCATGTTCACCCAATTTCTTTCTTCTGAAGTTTTCCCAACGTGTTAGCCAATGGCCAACCAACAAGCAATTGACAGATGAAGGGTCTGCACACTGGGAGACACAGAGTGAAATAAAGCCAGAGCACAGACATCCAGATAGGCTTCACTCAGTTTCACCCAGAAACAGCTTTTATTAATGTCAATCTTCAATATAATTTCAAAGCCATCCATGTGGCAGCTTCCCACCTGCTGCTGCTTCCGTTTGCACTACTGCATTGCCTCAGACATCCTTTCATCCAGCAGAAACAATGCACCAGCTCTAGAAAGGAAGGAAGCCTGCCCTACCTGCTTCTGCCCAGCTTCTTGTAGAGGAACCACCAAATTCAAGTAAAGGAGAAGTAGAACTTCTCCTGTGGAGATTGGAACATTCCCCATCAAGTACCTCTCTAGGGCTACTGCTTCTTGGCTGGAGTATCCCACAGGCCCCCCTTCGACTCCAGGTCTGTGGACTATGGCTTGGAATCTGGGTTTGAAGAGGGTGATGGCTTTATGGTTACTGTACTGTAGAACTCTTAGCAGCCCAGAAATTGGGTGGCGCATCATGGCTACTAGAAGGAACTAGGCTAATAAACTAGATCACATGGTCCCTGTGTTTTAGGAAATGGCTTCTTACAATGCATTGGTCTAAGGACATCCCAAAAGTGACTTTCAAGCAAAATTTTTAAAGTTCGCTATTACATATCTTTATTTGGTGTGTGTGTGTGTGTGTGTGTGTGTGTGTGTGTGTGTGTGTGTGGAGAGAGAGAGAGAGAGAGAGAGAGAGAGAGAGAGAGAGAGAGAGAGAGAGAGAGAATTAGAATCAGAGGACAACTTTCAGGTGTTGGTGCAGAACCAGGGTTTGAACTCGGGTCATCAGTCTTGGAGGCAATAGCTAACTGGATCATCTCATCAGCACTCAACACAGAAGTCTTAAAGAATCTGCTTCTAGGCTATGTAGTGCTCTTTGGTCTCTTAAAGTCTGGTGCATCTCTCCTCCTGACTAGTAAGGCACAGACTGGGCAAATGCCATTAAATCTTCCATGTTTACCTCAACTGCCTGAGGTTAAAAAATTAACAATTTAAACATAATTGCCACTGTTCAGTCCCCCTCACCTAGAAAGTGCTTCTCTTGTTTAGGACAAAATTAAAACAACAGAAATTTGAAATTTCTGTTTTGAATTAATTTCCCAACTAGGAAATATAAATAGGACACTGAGGTTACACAAGATGTGGTAACAACAGAAACAGGTGTTTTAAAGGATGGCCATCTACAGAATACAGTACCTCAAACAGTTGCAAATGCCACTGCAAGTGCTTAGGCATGAGGTCCAGCTGGAACACTTTATACCTCAATGCTCACTTTGAAGTGGAGGTGTTAGTCTGAAGTCATGACTCAGTTAACAGATGGAAAGAAGTTAGAAGATAGCTAGACACTTCTCCTGGTCAAGGCTAGGTTTTTTTTTTTTTTTAAGCAGAGTATATGAGATGATGCCGGAGCTTTGCAATGTTTAATTCTCCTTTCGGCTTGGAGCACAGTACTGAAAAGACAGGAAAGCAGGACTCGTGCTGGACAATAGTGCTGCACACCTAGCTGGCAAAGAACTGAGGAGGGGCAGAAAGGCTAGCATGAGGTGAAAGCAGAGTGGGTGTTCTGTCTTTACTGCCCTCAGCATGAACACATCTTCTCGGCTGGAGGGAAGAATGACCTAGGGGATATCATGGCCAACAAGTGTTTGCATTGCCAAGTAGCAAGCCCAGGGCCCAGAGATCAGACTGCAGGACTGGCCATGTCTCAAGGCCACCAGAGTTAAGATAGAATAAGCACTTGGCAAATGGTCAGTGGTACATGCTAGCACTCATTAATGATACCTGACCTGGAGGATGCCATTTCAACACCTTAACTTGTCCTCTGTTTGGTGGCCACCCAAAGTGTCTCACAGGGAACCCATGTCCAAGAAATCCTCTAACCTGTCTCATAGACTGGTGACTTAGAAACTATGCTCAATTAACATAAAAACAACAGCTTAGTGGATCAGAAAAGTCTGCTGTCTTTATAGGTACAATCACAGTTAACAGCTGAAGTACAGAGAACAAGGGGGTTATTAGAATCTAAGAGCATGAACTTACGTTTATATCCTCCAGCAATGCCAGACTGTGTTAGACACCTCTGCAACTCATCAGCATCAATTTGTCCATCCTTATAAAACAATCCAACAAACAAAACACAGGAAGAGGAATCATGACAGTGATCTGTGCTTTCAAGTTCTTAAGTGACAATGACAAGAGAAAGTGATTATATCTAGCATTTTTAGAGGAATGCCTTTCAAAATTGGGTACTCTTCTTATCCTAATTCCAAAAAGAATTTGATGAGAGAATATTTGTTATGTCAAACAGTCTCCACTCAGTTTGAGCCAAGAAACTGTCAAAACTAATCATTAAAAAAAAAAAAAAACAATTAGTTTTGGTATTGTTTAAAAACATATCCCTCAATCCCATTTTGAGAGAGAGAGAGAAAAAAAGTAAGATGTACAGCCGACCTTTCAGGCATCAATAAATGCAAGACTTGGTCCAAGGGGCAAGAGGCTCTTGTTTGTACTTATGACTTAGGACACTATTTTCTGAGCACAATTAAATGTAGAAGGTACATGGTAGGTTCCCAGACCTTCTTATTGGCCGAGTGACATCAAAACTAGGTCTCTCTCTCTCTCTTCCTTTCTCTCTCTCTCTCTCTCTCTCTCTCTGGGATTTTAAATACATAAATCCAAGTTGCTGAGATCCACTGTTATAAATAAGGAGCAATAATTTGAAATTATTAATGATGAATGTGTGGAATAGAGGCCAGGGCTGCTGAAAGCCAAGCAGACGGGTCACTTACATGCCAGAGATACCAGCAATCTAAGAATGCTAGTCTTGAGGTGTGCTGTGTCTTGCGGTTTCAAAGACACGGATCAATAACAGATTAAGTAGATACTTGAGAGGAAAGTCTCCCAGTCTTCGACTCAATTTTCCATTCAAATTCTCAATGCTGTGTTTCTTAGAGTACCACCTCCAAAGGTAACCTGGGGGGGGGGGGTTGCTTGGCATATTCATTATCTTTTTTTCTCTTTCCTAACTTCCTTCCTTCCTTCCTTCCTTCTTTCCTTCCTTCCTTCCTTCCTTCCAAATCCTGATTTCCTTCTTTCTGGCTCTTGTTGTTAAAACAAGTCTAAGGTGAATAAGCAGGGATAAACATCCCCTCTGGATATGGGTTACGTCAACAGTACATTTACCAAACACAGAGTGACCTTGCAAGCATGACACGTGTCCTTCCTCACAGCTGCCATAGATTGTCATACAACTCTAAGGGAGGGAAGTGGGACTTAGGACTTGTCACTGTGTGATCTGAATTCTTTCTCAGGGTCAGTAGGCCATAAAACCTAATAAGGACATAGAAAAGCTAGCATCTACAGCAGGGATAGAGGTCAGCTCCCAAATACAGATAGTAATTCTCCTGCCTGGATGCTGGCGGTTCTTTTCAGCTCTTCTCTACCTCCTAAGGGGATAAATGATTAATTATCAAATTCAACTGAATTTGATAGTAGGTGTTTATCATAATTGGGCTACAGAATTACTAATACATGCCTTTAAGTTGGACAAACAGAGGTTTTATGTTTAGAACTTGAATTTCTTCTCTGTAAGTAATCCTTGCTCTAACCTGACAACACAGTTCTAAAGGTATCTTTCTACTTCACAGACCTTCAAAGTATATTTATAATCCCCCTTTTGGTTCAATCGAACCCCTAGTTCAATCACAAGTTTTGAACTGATCTAGTGGTATTCTCTGTTCAACTTTGCTCAGGACAAAAAAAAAAAAAAAAAAAAAAAAAAAATGTTTTAGTTTTTCCGTTCCTTTTTTCTCCTTTTGCCTAGGCAAAGAGACTCAGTTCCAGGGCAAAAGTTCGTTTAGCTGCCACTGCACTAAATGATAACACAAACAGAACGATTCTTCAGTATTACACAGAAAGAAAGGGCTAACCTGTCCAGCCACAGCAGCGAAGTAACCATAGAGCGGATCCTGAGTTTGTCCGGGAAATGCAGGCCCTCCGGGAGCTCCTCCATACTGCTAGAAGGAAGAGCAGAAGCATCAGAACGGTTTGTTCTCACACAGGCAAGGCTTTGGCGCAAAGCAGAGACAACTACGACTGCTGCCTACCTGCCCTTCATAGCATCTCCCTCCCCACAACCTCACACACAAGGGCAGCGACCCACACTGCTCTTCCACTCTCGCTCCCATCGACATTCAAACGCTGGCGATTTGATCCAAAATAAGTGTCCACGAAAGTGATGCCACAATATGTGAAGTCACTTAAATTCTCTATTAAATAGGGGCTTGCAGAGGTGAATGTAACCGAAGCAAGCGATTTAGCAGCATAGCTCGCGACTATTTTCCTGTTGCTTTAAACCGCTTTTACGAAGTTTTTAAAAAGCGCCAGAAGTACTAGGTGAGGTTGGTGACAGATGTGTTGGGGGAAGAAGGGGGATGGCCCCGCTGTATCTCAGACGAGGGTCCTTTAGTCCCTGACAGTACACCCCTAACACCTGGCGAGGTGGCCTTCCTCTCGGACCCTGGCTCATTTCTCCAGACTTTCTGGTCTCCCCTGTCACTTTCTTTTCAAGAGAGTGACCACTGGACCATTCCAGATCAAGATGGCTGTTGTTGCTTTGGGGGCATTCTAGAGCAGGAAGTGAACACAGCCTGCACTGTATCACGCGCCACATTTCCGAATCACCGAGTGGGCTTCCCTGGTCGCAGCCCACACACCCCTTGGCCCCGGGAGAGCCCCTAGGAAGACAGGGGGTGGAAGAATGGAGCGGGGCCGAGTCTGGACGTCAGGGACTGGGCGAGCGCGCGGGGAGCATCTAGACCGGGGATCAGCTCGCAGCGCCTCCTCCCGCGCGTCCGTGGCGCCCTCTCGCCCCGGGAGCAGCGAGGCTGCGGTTGCCGAGCTCTGCACTTACCCCGCCTGGGTAGTACCCGCCGCCGGCGCCAGGGTGCCCGGGATACGCCATGGTGCAGACTGCGCCTCTGCCCTGCACGTCGGCTACTCCGCCCTCCAGCCCGCCCGGAGCCGCCCTGGAGCGCACCACACCGCCCCACACGGGGGCGGCGCCCGCCGCAGCCACCCATCCGTGACCGCCCCGCGCCACCACGCGCGCTGCCCGCTCTCTGCGACCTCCGTGCTGTACCAGCGACCCTGTCGGGCGGTGTCCCAGGGCCCCAGACAGAGTTCATGCCAGCACCCGTTCTCCCTCCCGGCCTAGTGGCACATTCCGACATCCACGCACCGCCCCGGGATTTTTTTTTTTTTTTTTTTTTTCCTTCTTCCTACTGTGCTATTTTGTGGTACATTTATTATTTTACATTGTTGTCGGATTGGGAAGGTGGTGTAAGAGCGCTGTGCACTATTGTTAGGGAGAGGTTGAAGAGCAACTGCAAAGGGTGAAGGAGACACTTCAAAATCAAAATAGAAAAACACCTTTGAAAACAGGATGAAAACTTCAGCACTGGGGGGGCGGTTAGCTTTGAATGAGGGAGGCATGTTTCTTTGCCAACTGTTAAGCTGGGTGTTGCTGGTGCGATTGCTAAGTGGGTGGAGTGGGGTAGGCGAAGGGGACATTTTCTGGGCAGGACAGCCTCACCCAGATCATTCGCAGAAAAATTGATGTATTTTTCTGGATGATTCAACTAGAAACAACTTCTGGTGATTATTACTGGAAAGGATGTGTAACTCACTTGGGTTGTTCAGAAAGCGTTTCGGTTTTCGTTTTCGCTTTTTAGTATAATTGAAATAAGAGGAAAAATGTTGGCTCACCCCTGACTGTTAGGACTGGACAGTGGGTTTCTGTTGTTCTTATTGTTTGCCTCTGTGGACCAGGCTCTAGGTTTAGCCCAGAACTTGTGGCCTCAGCCTCCCGCTGAGTCATCATGCCTGCCTGCTTTTGTGATTGTACCATTTTGAGACACTTTAAAGGACAAGACTGACCAGTGTGAGACCATGGCTTGAACCACTGACTCATCAGCACTTCTCTCGAGTCCCCTTTTTGGATACATGAACTCCAAAAACAGAAGTTCTGAATAGTGAGAAAAATTCTAATAGTCCTTATTGCCACATAACAAAAACATGACGTGTGTGTGTGGCTTTCCTCGTGTTTGATTCTGGAGATAAAATTACTGTCAGTCCAGGTGGATTAGAAGTCCTGTGTTTCGAAACTTTACTCACTGAGATGATCAGGGCTGTTTGAGTTTAAGCTTTTTCAGGACTCAAGTTTGAAAAGAAAGCAAACAAACAATGTGTCCCTAATAAAATGTTTGTAACTGATAAAGGATTAGTTTTATGGACAAGTGACTATGCTAATTGTTACATTAGGAATCTAGAGTCTTGCTCCTTTCCCCTTAAGAAGTGAACTTTAATGGAGTACTTAAATGAAATTCTGACAATGATTGCCAACAAATTAGTAAGTGCCTGCTTGCTGCTTTGTGTTCAGGAAAAAAAAATGTAGCAACTAATAATGACAACAAAGATTAACATATATAAAGAAAGTAATTAGTGAGTGTCAGGCTTTCAAAGCATTTTACTGATATAAATTCCTGAGAGATAGGTGTTTTTATTACACAGTTGAGAAACTGATGGAAACCAAGGGAGGGAAAGGAGGAAATGAACTCAGATCTGGCCTGTGGTGCTGCATACTCTGGCTCTGCCTCAAGGGGAAGAAAATGTCCTGATAGTAAATACTTCCCCATCACGTGCTCCCAGTAGCATGTGGCTCTTATAACCTAGTAGTGTCTGAGGATAGAGCGTAAGTTAACAGTGTGGTTGTATTCCAGAGCAACTTGATTCATAACCACAAAGTTGAATTTAATACAATTGTTGACTATCAGAACAATGTTTCCTCTGTCATTTAAGATGAAAATATCATCCTTAGCTTTCAGGTGTACCCCAAAAGAGACAGGCCAGATGTGGCTCTCGGGCAGTAGTTTACAAACCACTGTTGCTAACTGACAGGAATTAGCCATAGAGAAGCCTGAAATATGGACAGAGAAGATGACAATAAAGAGAAGGGAAGGACTTGGAATTCACATGCGCTCTTTGATCTGGGGAGAGAAGAGACACTGGCTGGGTAAGAAAGAGGGTCAGCTGGTCCCTCCCTCTCTGCTGCTTTGGTCTATAAGGTTTTTACTCCAGTATCTGATTCTCAAGTTTTTACTGGTAATAGAACAATTTAGCAAAACACAACAAACCACTGCAAGCTTAAGACTAGGAAGTATGCCTTTAGCAAGTGATGTGCTGTTTTTAAGGTTGTGGTGGCTGAGTCACCCTAAGGAATGGTGACCTCCCCAGGGTAAGAACCTGTGGTTAAGATGCCTATATCAGAATCTGCCCACTGGATAATAAGATGTGCAATAGGAGCTGGAGAGTGGTGGCACACGGCATTAATCCCAGCATTCAGGAGGCAGAGGCAGGTGGATCTCTGTGAGTTTGAGGTCAGCCTGGTCTACAGATTGAGTTCCAGGACAGGTTCCAAAGCTACAGAGAAACCCTGTCTTGACAAACCAAAAAGAAAAAGAAAAACAAAACAAAACAACAACAACAAAACCACTGTAAGACCCTGATACTTGCCTCATCCTATGCAGTAGTAGCCAGAACACAAGCAGAATGACATCGCAGCATGCCAGGCTGTCCTTTAAATGTTTATGCATGCAATACAAACCCCTTTATTCATAACCCGAGTATTATAGAACCTAAACAATTCACGGAGGGATAAAGATTCAGCATCACAATTGCAAAACCGAAGTGTGATATTCTTTCATGGTTTCTGTAATTCTTTCCCACGAAGGTGTGGAGATGGGATGAAATAAGCAACTTTATCACATTCTTGGCCTGTGCCAAGTGCCATGCTAGATGCTTCCTTATGAAATTGCACCTAAAGCATGTCACCATCAAAAGAAGGTGTACTTGTGTTTTATAGGTTAGAAAACTGAGGAACAAGTAAGTTTCTCAAGGTTACCTACTAGATTTTGACTTCCAGTGTAAGTGGAAAGCCTAAGTGTTTTAAAGTAAAAACAGACTATAAAGACACTAAGCCATGCTCATGCTTTTCTCTATGGTAGAGCTTTAGGACAGAGGAGCAACACAGGAAAAAACAAAACAAAACAAAACAACAAAAACAAAAAAAAAAAAAAAAAAAAAAACCTTCGAGACAGAAAAACTTCTCCAAAGATCCTCATGCCTGCCTTGGAAAATTCAATAAACAAATAATGAACAGAATACTTATTTTATCATTAAGAGGAACCTATAGAAAGATGACAGAACCCCCTCCCCCAGTTTCATTTTAATTTTGAATCAAATAAATTCCACAATGGAACAAGATCACATTCATAGCTGTGAGTCTTAGATATAGACACTGCCATCCACCGGCCATCTAAAGACAGTCAGCCTCAGACACTAAGCTCTGTATATAAACAGAAGAGGGCTTTCTCAAAGGGGCCAGACTACTGTCATTTGTCTTAAGAACACACTAAGTCTTACTAAAAAGCTGCAGGTCATTGCTCCTTTCATATCATCTTGATGGAAGGCTGTGACCAAACCGAGCAGAAGAGAGTTGTTCCAATTGTAAAGCTAGAAGAAAGTCCATTATATTGAGAACCACAGAAACTTTTGTGACCATCTACTCTAATCACAATGTTTTCTGGATTTTAAAAAGAGAGAAAGTCTAAGAAGAGGCCAGTGAGTGGCCTATACTCTTGAAGGGATGACCTAGTTGAATATAACTATTTTACACTGCCCAATAGAAGCCCTGACATCATTTGGCTTTGCCTCTTAGGAGATGTTATGTTTGGGATCTTAAACGCCCTCCAAAGGCCATTTGTTAAAAGTTTGGTATCTAGCCTGCAGTACTACCAAGTAGGTGGTGATGGTGTGTGTTGGGGAAGGGGGCATTTCAGAGATGAAACTTAGAGGAAGGATGTTAACTCTTTGAAGAAGATATTAGATCCTGTCCCCCGCCCTCACTTTCTCTGTTTGACTCCCTAGTCATCACTGGATAAATTTGCTTCACAACACACTCCCCACCATGATGTTGTATCTCATTACCAGCCAAAAGAGCAATGGAGCTAGGAGACCACTAGCTGTGAGCTAGGCTTGGGTATTTTGTTACAGTGATGGAAAGCTAACTATCACAGAGAAGAATCTATGCTTTTTTGGTATTCCCTCTGGAACCTGTGTCTGCATGAGTTTTCAAGACAAAAAAGGTAAAGGAGACATTCAGTTCCTAAAGAAAGATTAACATCAACATTATATATAACATTCAGGCAGAACTTCCTCACTTAGATAAGGGTGAAAGGAACTGTGTTGTCAAGTAACCACAGGTGTTTCACCATGTCCTGCAGATGACTCAATCAAAGGTCTAATGTATAGAGAAGAAATGAGCAATGCATTTGCCAGATCAAGGGCTCAGCTTTCTTTTAGTTGTAATCTAGATGAGTCAGCTTGTTATCTGAAGACTTGTATCTGGGGCAAGGTTATAAGACTGTTAGTGCACTTGAATAGTGAACCCAAGATCCTGGTTTGATCACCAGCACCACATACAGGAAAAATTAAAATAAAATAAGAGGCAGAGGATGATGGAAATAAAACACACCTATGCACACATACGGCATTATAGAAAAACTCAGATCTCTAAGTTTGAATGGGAATGAGTATTCAACAATAACACAGGTGATTAATACCAACCCTGTTTGTTTGCTTGTGAACAGTCGTGTATAGTGAATAGAGGATGGCTTTTTCTCATTGATCATCATATAATTTTGTTTACAGGATGGGAAGGTCTAACATGGAAGGTTTAGTGTTTACGTGTGCAGTATGTACTAGCTTCCAAAAACATTATAGGAATGAGACAGCCTCATTAACCACACTAACCACAACCAGTCAATAGAATTCTCTGTCATGATGAGAACACTAACCATGTGTGCTACTAAACATGATACAAGGAACTAAACCACATCTGACAGAGGACTTGTTTCCAAAATATACAAAGAACTCAAGAAACTAGTCATCAAAATACCAAATAATCCATTTAAAAAACGGGGTATAGATCTTAAAAGATAACTCTCAACAGAACAATCTCAAA